GATTTTATTAACAAAAGGATTTTCATAAAAAAGGTTTGTAACCCATGGATTATTGGCCAGGGAGACCAGTAATAGAAAAATAATTTCCCAATTTTTTTTGTAACTTCAAAAGTATGACAATAAAAATTCAATTAACCATTTTGAAATGATCGGTACATTTTTAAGCCTTAGTTTTTCAAGTGAAACCTTAAATTCAAGAAAGGATTATTTTTTAATTCATGAAAATGCTCTCCATTCTTAGTGGGAATGTTTCAGTGTTGACAACACTTCTGAAATGTCAAAATTCCGTCGAATTAAAAATCAGAGTTTAGGTAACGGGCCGATCGCGCACTGCTCGCCAGATGCGTGTAATCGGGTACCGTCGTAACTGTTCTGATTGGGCCTTGCCTGTGTAGATAATTGTCTTCCGTGTTCAATACATGAATCCGCGAAGACCAAATGGGGGGCATATTCCACAACATTTCCTTATTTTCGTTTGCATCCGACGAGACTCTTGCGCATGACACAATCTCGGAGTGTCTGACGGAGATGCGTAGAGTCGGAAAACGCATAGGATATAATAATTGCGGAATAACCCTTTAGGTCTTAAAGAAGTGCTAGTTTTGTTTACTAACTTATTTGTAAGGCGCGGGGATTCCCCAAATTCTTTAAACTATGCACAGTGTTTTAGAAACCCTCAAAATCGGACATGATTAAGTTAATGCCATGAGTCGATAGCGTCTTATGTTTCAATTACAAGAGTGAAACTCGCGTGTACTCATTTTACTTGGTTTTTGAGAAAAAAAATGTGAAAGTTGGCCGTTTTTAAAATTCCTAAAAATGAAAAATAATTTTTTTTAATAATTAAGAGGGTTTGTAAACTTGTGATAAAGCTGATTCGATTGATCATTAAAAGACGCATGTATTGTACTTTATTTCATTTCTACAAGTCAAGTAGTTCCAGAGATTTTAATTATTTTTCATTATTTAGACTTTATTTTTTTTCTTCCATCCTAAATGGAATCCGCAATTTTATTTCATACTGAACAATACTTTGGTATAGCCTCTATGTAGAAATATTTTTATCTTTTGTGGATCGTGTCTTGTACCAGAGGTATATGAATTTCTTTTTTTTTATTTTCGCCTATACAATTTTTTATAGCAATGTTTCATCGACGCATTGGAATATGATAAGGCGTTTTAAAGAATAATTACAAGGGGACTTCGTCGTCAAAAATACGTGTCTCCCGTGCCAAATACATTGTGTCGTTCATATTATTATGGACTTTTCATCCTCTGTACTGTGTTCGGTATCTCCAGTATCTTCGGTGTCTTGGTGTTCGTGTTGGCAAGGTTGAAGTAATGAAAGTACTGCTTTAGAGAAAGGTATTCTTTTCAATTTAATTTGCTAAATGGGTTTTAGCAATCGCCCTACGAGTGTGGACCCCTTCCCGTGCCACACACAACCCTTCATCGGAGTATAGTTAACGTCAGATTATATTTCAATGCGTAGATGAAACATTGCTATAAAAAATTGTATAGGCGAAAATAAAAATAATAAAAATTCATACATCTCTGTTACAAGACACGATCCACAGAAGATAAAAATATTTCTACATAGAGGCTATACCAAAGTATTGTTCAATATGAAATAAAATTGCGGATTCCATTTAGGATGGAAGAAAAAAAATAAAGTCTAAATAATGAAAAATAATTAAAATCTCTGGAACTACTTGACTTGTAGAAATGAAATAAAGTACAATACATGCGTCTTTTAATGATCAATCGAATCAGCTTTATCACAAGTTTACAAACCCTCTTAATTATTAAAAAAAAAAATTTTTCATTTTTAGGAATTTTAAAAACGGCCAACTTTCACAATTTTTTTCTCAAAAACCAAGTAAAATGAGCACACGTGAGTTTCACTCTTGTAATTGAAACATAAGAAGCTATCGACTCATGGCATTAACTTAATCATGTCCGATTTTGAGGGTTTCTAAAACACTGTGCTATGGCATGGCATAAACACGCTACTCACTTCCTTACCGCGATTCTCCGAAGTGACTAGTCACTTCGATCTCGTTGGAATGCCCAGTAAATACGTTTTTTGGATTGTGCCTTTCCTGGGTCACCCTGGGTGCCATCATTATCACTTTAGGCTAAATTTTTTCCTATTAATCTCAAACTTGTCTCTTGTATCACTAAATGTAACTTTCCCACATTTGTATTAGTAATTTAACCACCCGTATGTTAATCCCAACCTGAAAATTGAGAAGTCTAACAGAGTTCAATGCACGTCTCACTCAACTAAGTCCGATTCCGCACACCTATCATCGTTTACATACAAACCAACATTTGCACCTCTTTTTATGAATCTGCCCGATTTTGAACTTTACTCCACGGTGATTAGTGCCGCCGCGTGTTCCGCGAGTTAGCCGCGATTTGGTGGTGGTACAGTTATGATCGTGCCATGGTCGTTAAGGACTTCAGCGATCTGTTACTATACAGCGTTGTAGGATAGTTTTGTAAGAGCTGTCCTTGAAATGTCACCAGCATTTGGCTTGACATTATGTGTTCACACCTTTAAATTATTTAGCAGATTGGAAAGGTCGATGATTTTGATCTTCAGAACATTTAATATTTTCTGTATTTTTTGCTATAAAGTAAAGAATGTAGTATATCGATCGTGTAATCGGCCGGTACGTAAATAAATAAATCGGACCTGCGGCCGCTTCGGAAGGCGGGTCAAGGTCCTTATTAGCAGCCTATTGCTTACGGTATAAAACCTGTATAAACGGCACGTGACTGATGTGTCATAATATTGTTTGTATCTACCTAGATAAAATAGTAAATCTTAACTTAAACTAGTGACCAGGTACATGGTATACTTACGACGCCTAAGTACGGTTTCAGAGTTAATAAAGAATTTGAATTGAATTGAATTGAAACTCATCTTCGGGTATTCTCGGAAGAACGAGAATGTTGCCACGATATAAGTTATGATTAAAAATATCAATAATGGTAATCATGTCAGTGAAAATTGTCTCTTTTCTCAAAATAACCCACTGAAATTCTTGAAGATCCAATCAGTATCTGTCGAAACCTCCTCCGTTTTGGGGCAACGTTTGCAGTTACCTAACCACTTCATCGCTGTTCCGATTTCATGGTCGCGTTGCGCCACATTGTTTTTATATGCAGACAGCACGTCAACACTGGCATCTTAGGCACTTGTAATAAACGCTATAATGCATCAAAAATGCAGTCTGATGTGCTGTCGACTGTACTATCTTGATGTGTAATAAAATCCAATTCAGTTCAAGACCAGATAATTATTTTATCAGCCTTGCAAACTGCTCGCAAATTCGCGTCTAAGAGTGAACTCTAGCTTCCTAAATTCCTAAAATTGTCCTGTAGTTAACATTGTTCTATGGTGAAATTGAGAAGGTATCCCTGGATTCTTCATCTGATGTATTTATTCATCATTATTCACTATTCAGTAGCCGCAGCAGAAAACTGCATTCCTATACATATTGGCAATTTAAAGATTCTTGCAAAATGCATAAAATATTTCGTGGTGTCTTTTGCATCACAGATTATTGAACAGCTTGGTATCAAAATTCAATATTACTGATTAAAATAATCAAGATATGCTCTCATACTAATATCATTTAGGAGATCTATCGATTCATTTAGGAGAAGAGAGCGTATCTTCACCTTAAAGGCCGGCAACGCACCTGTAACGCCCCTGGGTCTGCGGGTGTCTATGGGCGACGGTAATAACTTACCTTCAGGTGATCCGTCTGCTCGTTTGCCTCCTGTCACATAAAAAAAAAAGATCTACGTCCCATCAGAGCATTCACATTGCCTAAAACTCGTTCAACGTCCTTTGAAAGATAAAACATGGTAACAGTGGTAACAGTATTTAATAGTCATACTATCTCATTGTCTTGATAAAACACACCAACGTCATTGCCTGAAGTCTTTGTAAATAGCTCTTTGTTTGCTAGACTTCAAATAAATAAATACTCTTACATAGATTTGAATTTTAAAGTGACGACTTGTATGTAAATGTAAGCGTTGTTTTAAATATCGTTTAATACTGTCACCTAGTAACATTACCATTTTTCAGATTTCCATCATTAGTTTGATTCGTTTAACCTTGTTATTCCACAAAAGCATGTTACTTGAGATTAATAACATTTTCTAGAAACTGTGAAAGATGTTTTCGAAATTCTAGTTTTCTGAGCTATAAACTTTAAAAATTTATTATTATGCTATTCTCTGACGATTTTCTCAATGAACCAATATAAGAAACGCTCGTCACCGAACTAATCGATACATTGCGATGTTTGTTTGTGTTTTATATGATCCATTAGACTTGTCGCTGAGGGCCGATGCTTTCATAGTGCTTCCTCCCACTTCGTTAGACTTGGGTTAGATCGGTCGCACACGCCTCCACTAGCGTCGCGTTGTTGGCTTAGAAAAGTGTGATTTATGAAGATATTGTTTACTGTAGCTGTAGGGTTAGAAAAGGTAAACTTATGAGCAAATATTTAATTTAGCCCGTGTTTGAATCCTAACATTGTTTACTTTAGGGTAACGTGTGAGTTCAAATTTTTGTGTGTAACAAAGTAATATTCTAATATAATATCACTTATTTCACCGCATATCGCAATGCACTTTTTCCTAATCCGGTTGCCATTTCACCCAAACATTAAGCACCAAGTTATTGAGTAGACAAATTCACAAATAGCTTGAATCATCACCGACACGCCACGATAGTGCTAACAGAGCTTGACATTGACCGCACTAACATCGCACCAACAGTACTAGCTCGCTTGTGTTGCGCCGTGTGCGCGAGGCATAACAAACGCTGTTTAATTTTATATTTACGTGTATTCCGCAAAATTGATAGTTTTCAGTGTGTAGTTTTACAGCATGTCTAATACGTTTAAAGTGTAATAAAGCTGTATGCATGTGATACATCTAATATATGTTTGTGTATATTATATTGTCGACAGACGCGGCGTCCACACTTGGCTGTTTTACTAAATACACGAGTTTATAGCACTGCAAAGTAAGTGGTTGTAGTGGACCCCTTGAGTTCCTTAGTTCCAGCTTGGTTCGCAGACACCCGATGTGTGGTATTGATTTTAGATTATTTTGGATTATGTTAAGTACACTTGTAGTGCTTGGTTTATTATTTGGCAATGTCACGCGTACCTGGCGTACGTACACGTGTGAACCTTTGTATCAGTTTACTAACACTTGAGCTTTGATTTATTTTTTATTTTTCACCAAAATTGGCAAGTCTAGCGGAATGTCTAAAAAAATCTCATTTTCATAGGAAATCCTCATTTCTTCATTTTATTTTCCAAGAAACTAGAAGCACTCTTGCTTTTCGCCCATGCATTATTTAGTCGGAAGTATTAATTAATACTAATGTGTTGTGCACGCATTAATGGCCGTGTTAAATGCCCATGACCATAATTATAAGACCATAAATGTATACGTACATTCCACAATAATTTATTTAAATATTAAATTATTTACCAATAATTAGTCATACAATTTTCTGGGTAACAAAACCCTTTTTTCCTGAAAATATGTGTAGGTGGGAATTACATTTCGTTTCCTTATGAAATATTACTAATTTGCTTAAATAGTATTTTTCAAAACTGCTCGTGTAATACATATAGGTTTTAAAATTCTAGAGCCGGCTTATAATTGCTGATACCTTAATTATTTACAAGATGTGATTGCCCTTTGTTTTGTGATTATTAAGTAAATAGATTTCCCAGATAGTGTCAACGTTTAGGGCACATAAAAGATAAGGATAAAAAGTGAACGCAAACATTTTTCAGTGTAGGTCAATTCTGTTTGTCTAAATTCGCGCTCGTTATCGCGGTCATTAACACCAGAGACAGTAATACACATGGCGCTTTGTTTACAAGCGACTCCCGAAAATATAACTCTTTGTCTCATCTCATTCGGGGCCATCCATAAAGTACGTCAACACGAATTTCATGATTTTTTGACCCCCCCTGCGTCCTTGTCACAGGTGGTCACATTTCTGAGACTCACACTCACTTTACTTCTGAATGATGATTAGCTCACAATCATTATTTCATAGGAACCTGGCTTGTTTTGCAACATTCGCAATATTTCACAATTTCGCAGCGAAAGCGTGCAATTCTTTTGTTTATATCATACTATGATACATTATCGTTACGATGCCATTCGGGATAACGATTGTAATAATCACGATGATTATCATTCCGTTATCTTGCGGCCACAATGATCACAATAACATTTTATTGGAATATTCGATGTTATTGTTTATTCTGAGTAGTTATTTTAAATCGAGTACATGGACCTATAAAAAAAGTCGGACGGATTCTCATCAACAAAATACTGTGACATTAGGATACACCAGCTTGCCTGTACGTACAGGCCGGCACGCACACATTCACACCCTGATACACCACTTCGAGTGCAAACTTCACACAGTTGACACATTTAAGCAACGAAAAAACAACACGAATACGACATGTCTTGTGTGATGAAATTGTGTAAAAATCGTTCTGTTCGAACAAACAAAAATTAAGGAATCACATTTCACAGGCAAAATAATAATCCCATCACTTATTTCCCGACATTAAAATATTGAAATTAATTGAAATCAAACGTCATTCACTCGAAAAAATAATACGTCAAAGACCAGTGTTCTCAGTTATTTACGTGGGAAAATTACCCGAAATATGGGAAATTAATAATAATTTTAGGACTTTTTAGTTATTTATTACGCATACTATGGAAATAAAATAATTTATCATAATAATTGTGTTTTAATGGGATATATTTTCATAGGCAAATTTGATCCTTCCCAAAAATGTGGAACTCCGAAATTCAAATTTTCTTACATTGATTGCAAGTCAGTGTCAGGTTGTATGTTAAAAAAAATCTATCAGAGATAATAATAATATTTGATGATGCATAAGATTATGATTATAATGTACACAAGATTCGTAATTTGTAACTGCGTGAATCATTTTTGATCAACATTATGTACATACCCTGACACACTGACTTGCAAACAAAGTAAGAAAATTTGAACATTGAAAATTTCGCGCCTACCTCAACGCATTCACCTTTCATCCTTTTAAAATGGCCCGGAATAATTCTGTCTACATTTCCAAGTACCATCTGCCGATCTATGTTTTTCTGAAAATAAATGGGTAAATTGTTTTGGCTAACATGGCATCCCTAAATTCACTCACACAATAGACAAACGCCAAAATTTTGCGTCACAGTTTTGTTGTAGCGCGAGTTCCGTCCGCCTTTTTTTATAGGTCCATGATCGAGTATCCAAACACTCAAAGAGAGATGCTTTCTACTATTACTAAGTCTTAGTTTCTATAATGTTAATAAATACTTTGTTCTAATGAATAAACTCCGTATGTTATCTATCATACGGTAAATAAATAATGATAAAGTGATATTTATGCAAGAAATGCGTCCTCAAGTTTATTATATTTGGTTTCATAATTAAGTACTTACGTGTTTGATATCTTATGATTTGTTTTACAGTTTGATAAGACTTTCCTTTATGATACATATTTTGATACCATAAGGTCCATACAAGATACAATTTTACTAATAACTTGTATAATTAATTATTTTGATTATACTTTATTTGCTCTTACTTACAGACAAAAATGACTAGACCACATGCTGATGATAATCCGTTAAGGCAATATAAAACAATAAATAAATAAATTAGTGTTTATGTCAAAATCATTTGATTACATCTACTTTACCGGTCCAATTACTACTTCATTGCTGGTTACTGCGCAATCACCCATAATACTTCATCAATTAATGTTTATTTTCCCACTAGCTTTCCGCCCGCGGCTTCGCCCGCGTGGAATTTTGTCTGTCACAGAAAAACTTTATCGCGCGCGTCCCTGTTTCAAAAACCGGGATAAAAACTATCCTATGTTCTTTCCCGGGACTCAAACTATCTCTATGCCAAATTTCATCAAAATCGGTTGCGAGGTTTAAGCGGGAAAGCGTAACAGACAGACAGACAGACAGACAGACATACAGACAGACAGCCAGAGTTACTTTCGCATTTATAATATTAGTTGGGATTCAATAGAAGTTAGATATTTAGAAAGCTAGTTAAATCGTGGAGTTGACTTTTGCATTATTCTGAACTTTTTTTGGTTGTTGCCCTTTATCCATCTTTTTATTTTCTCATATTCCTTTATAAGTTGCATTTCCTAGTCCATAAACATTCGGTCAATTTCAATTTCAATTTCAATTTATTTATTCCAAATGGTCGTTTTAAAGTCTGCCTTGATTATTACAGACAACTGTTGATTTTACAGTCTTTAAGACGACCGATACATTGTCCCCAAGTAGTCGGTGTAAGCAAGTTTATGTCTTACAGATGCCCCGTGGTCGGGACGAAATGCAAGTAAACGTGGCGGGCCTAAGGAGAAATATTAAAAACCTCGCGCACAACTACTCTGATGCTCAGGTAAGGGCTTATTATTTTCATACATCGCACTATTACCAGGCCTGTTCATCTCCGCGAGTTTACATCGAAAACAAAACACGCACGATGGCCCACCTACAGGATACTATTCGACAAGGCCTCACATACGAGCGAACATTGACTCACGCACGCGTATTCTTGTGTATGATGGAAGAAAATAAAGAAAATGGTGTACTAAATACTGTGCAGTATTTAACTGCCTAAATAATAATAAAAACACAGAATGTACTTTTTTAAGTTGCCTCAAGACACTGAGAGGTAAATAAGTAGTTAATATTATTCATGATAATTCATACTAAATCATGTATTTCCTCCGCCATTTTCCGCAGTTTGGCACCTCACGTCACATCATTTAACCGAAGTCAGCCCTATAGCTTCGGCGCAGTGCCGATCACTGACGTTTGTCAACAAAATGGTGCTTGACTCTTGAGACAGGCTAAATTACACCATATTGTTAATAACATTGAGCATACATATTTTTAAATACCTTCGCGAAGTAAAACTTCTGTACGTAGTACTTATTCTTATTCTGTGCTATTACTTAATGGGTAGAAGAACTTGATTTGCAGCCTCTCAGAACAAATCAATCAATGATCCGACAAAGCTGGACTATTGTGGTGAACAATCACATTTAGCTTATTTACGAGGGGGCAACGGGATTATTTAGTATTTTGTATTTTTGGGCTTGGTAAAATCTGTTATTTTAGCGTGGGCTTCCCTTTTAATTAATCAAAAGGGCTCGTGTCGATAGTAACGTTTCCCCCTATTAGTATTAATAAATAAAAGAAAAGATCTTGAGGGTCTGGGTCAGTATTCTGTAATACGAAATCGGCTGTTAAGGCCTTGCTGCTTCAACACTTTCCGCATAGTATCAGCAGTGGCCAGCGGTGTTTGTACATTTCTATGCAAATGAAGCCCGTTGCCCTGATATATTTTGGCAGAGATAACGTCAAGTTCGTAACATTATACTGTAACGGTCTCTGTTAATAAAATTTCTTGGGAAATTACAGAATTCATACCCGATTGTGTAACTGTTAAACAATCCTATATTTCACGTTTCGCCACCTGGATTTGCAGGCTTCAGAGCGAATTCCTTACATTTTAGGCTCATATTTAGCATCTACCCTGCTTCAAATGCGTCACCCGCTTTGAATTTTAGTCATATTTCGAGACTGTAACTGTATTATTATTACAGTGCTGTTTTAGTATTTAATATCTCCTTTGCATGTAATAACATACAATAAAGAAGTTGGCGTCAAGTTCTGTGTGTTTCTTGCGCTGTTTTTTCTCAACACTGGCCCATATTACTGTCCCGAAGCAGTGGTAGAGTTGGGACATGTAAAAATGTTATTTGGGAGTCTACTTGTAAATAAACAATTTGAACTTGTGTAGAATATGACCTGAGGCCTGGACGCAGGCCGCTACCAGCTATTGAACATGGAAATCATTGGGGGAGACCTATGTTCTGCATTGGACGTCCTATGGCTGAAATGATGATGATGATATGCGACTCTCCCAAGCAGTTAAACTGACTTAATTCCATATGATTCCAGGTAAAAGTGCGCGAAGCAACCTCGAACGACCCATGGGGCCCCTCCAGCACTCTTATGGCGGAGATCGCCGACCTCACGTACAACGTGATGGCTTTCACGGAGATTATGCAGGTGAGTTGATATGAAACATCAAGATAGTGCTTAAACCTTTATCTCCCTAGGATGGGCGCCGTGATAAAATTTTATCGATGAGTTTAGACGACAAATGTATGGGCTTATCGCGTAAAATCGATAAAATAGCGCGATAAAAGCTTTTTGCGGCGCTCATCCTAGACCTACTGTTAGGGGCTGAAAAATATTTTTCTCTATACCAGTTAAAGGGTTAAACTTCAACTCATGCGCATACAACGCATCGTTTGAGTAAATTGATTTCTGTAGTCTAATTTGTCATCAATGTTGACTAAACGACATAAATAAGGTGCAGATTTTTAACCTGTAAGCTGGTCTTACAGGTTAGAAATCTGCACCTTATTTATTTTACTACGTCACACGCCTACTTCAGTTTTTTTTTGACAATCATTGCTTCTATCTAGTCATCTAGTGGTTGTTGATTTCGATAAATGGTGACTCAGAAAGTATTTAGTGAAAAACATTAAAAAAATGGTATATCAGCAGCCACACAGTTCTACTTTTTGTTTGAATAATGGAACCAAGTGATTAGTACTAATAAATTGAACTTGTATCCGCATTGAGAGTAATCTGGTTCAAATCCACTTCTATGTACGGCCCGGGAACTACTACGGTGTTTATGGACATGTCGATGTCCCCACATTCTGGGCCGGCCTTCCGATCTGCGAGCTATGGGCCGGGTGCGATATGTTCACTTCATACGGTTCTTGTCTCCTTTGATTTGATTTTGTTGTTTCCTATAATTTCTGTCTAATGCAGGGGTGGCCAACCGGTCGATCGCGACTATTAGTCCAGTCGATTGTGGCAAGGCAAAAAATACTACATGATTGTGTACTAAACTATGCTGTTTCGTTTAAGATTTCAAGAAGTATGTAAGTGGTAGATCGCCCAGGGTTTTGTTAGTAAACAGTAGATCTTATGTTTAATCAAGTTGACCACCCCTGGTCTATGCGTCTTCAAATTATTGTTCACAATTCCGCGTTCACGTTCCAGACGTTCCCCATTAAAAAAATCACAATTTTAAACTCGGAAACGTAAAATAACATGCAGACGCTCGCGTCAATGTGAACACATCGTTATAAGTTGCCACCATTGGTTTGGCTAAAGTTTAAATACTAATCCCCAAAGGGTTCAAATTCTCCAATCACCAGCATCACTGTAGGAAGCCTGTAGCGGCCTAGATAGGCTGCTTGTTTTCTGGGAAGAACTGGGTTAATTGAAGTAGGAAAATAATCATCGCACACAATGGCCCAATCAAGAGGCTGTGCTCGATTGATTTGCAAAACTAACTAAAGCCCGGTCTGTGAGCACGTAGAATTTTGTTCAATGACCCCAAGCTACCCATCCTTATCGCTCGCGCGAAATTATATTGCTGTCGCGACTGTGCGACGAGCGCCCGCAGTGAGTGTGCGAGCGCAACAGCAACATAATTACGCTCGAGCGATAAGGATGGGTAGCTTGAGGTCATTGGACAAAATTCTACGTGCTCGCAGACCAGACTTATAACTAAGTATAATTCCGTGCTGCAGATGATCTGGAAGCGCCTGAACGACCACGGCAAGAACTGGCGGCACGTGTACAAGGCGCTGGTGCTCATGGAATACCTCATCAAGACGGGCAGCGAGAAGGTGGCCATGCAGTGCAAGGAGAACATCTTCGCCATCCACACGCTCAAGGACTTCCAGTACATGGAGGAGGGAAAGGACCAAGGTTTGTTTCAGACATTCATCATCATCTCAGCCATAGGACGTCCACTGCTGAACATAGGCCTCCCCTAATGCTTTCTATGTTGATCGATTAGTAGCAGCCTGCGTCCAGCGCCTTTGTGATTTGTGATGTCATCGGTCCATCTTGTGGTGGACGTCACACGCTGCGTTTTCCGGTACGCGGCCTCCACTCCAGAACCTTGCTGCCCCATCGGCCGTCAGTTCTGCGTACTATGTGTTCTGCCCATTGCCACTTCAGCTTGCTTAGCAAGCCAAAAGTCATTTAAAAAGCTTAAATTCGAGAACGTGAGAGTGCAAATTGCTATGGCAGCCGCCACTCGAATACCATGTTGCCTAGTGCGCGGCCTCTTGAGAGACTGGGTTCTATGCTAGAGTGCACGAGTGTGTAAACACGCGTTTCGAATTTCAGTTTTCCTCGAAGATTCCGATACGCCGAAACGAGTAGTGTAATGCCGGCATAATAAATTATGCTTGTTTTATGAGTAGATTCACCACAAACCACCATCCGGTGACCGGGTTCGAACCAGCACTGCTCGGATCTCGAGTAGGCTGTGATGAATCTAGCATTATTATGAAATCATCNAAATTTGCTGAAATAGTTGAGTGTTGAAATGTTTTTTAATATCAGGTGTTTGGGTTAGATCTTTGCAAATATTTTTATTGCAATTATCATGAAAACCATATGAATGGCACATTGCGTTACTGATGTCTTTATGCAAGTTTCCAACACTTATTGATTTGTGATTTTTCTGTGAGCCATGATATTTTATAGAATCACAAATAAATTTTCTACCACATATAATCTTTGAATTAGTTAGCAAATGTCTGTCTTTTATGGCATACTTTGTGTCTGTTCTTAACTGCTGTAATTTATTACAAAAATTTCTCAATATGTGGTTCTTACAGCCTATCTTTTCAACTGTGACTGTGGTGTAGGGTCTGGTTGCTAAGATCTTTGAGTATGTGCTACTATCCCCGTCAGCTATAAACCTAGAATAAATTAACCCATGCATTTCGACAGATTTTTTAAATCCTTCAGCAATAATTGTGCTTTCCATGGCAGTGGAAGACCCATCAAAGTTTTTGAAACATTCATGCTGCTTGACCTGAAATAATAAAAATACGATCACCTATAATAATCAATAAAAAGTTTTAGTGTTACCTATAATATTATGAGTATAAATAATATTTTTACCACTTCATTGAGTTTTTTATTGATTATTATAGGTGATCGTATTTTTATTATTTCAGGTCAAGCAGCATGAATGTTTTAAAAACTTTGATGGGTCTTCCACTGCCATGAAAAGCACAATTATTGCTGAAGGATTTAAAAAAATTGTCGAAATGCATGGGTTAATTTATTCTAGGTTTATAGCTGACGGGGATAGTAGCACATACTCAAAGATCTTAGCAACCAGACCCTAAACCACAGTCACAGTTGAAAAGATAGGCTGTAAGAACCACATATTGAGAAATTTTTGTAATAAATTACAGCAGTTAAGAACAGACACAAAGTATGCCTTAAAAGACAGACATTTGCTAACTAATTCAAAGATTAATGTGGTAGAAAATTTATTTGTGATTCTATATAAAATATCATGGCTCACAGAAAAATCACAAATCAATAAGTGTTGGAAACTTGCATAAAGACATCAGTAACGCAATGTGCCATTCATATGGTTTTCATGATAATTGCAATAAAAATATTTGCAAAGATCTAACCCAAACACCTGATATTAAAAAACATTTCAACACTCAACTATTTCGGCAAATTTCATATTTAACTAGAAATTGTGCATCGCAAGCAAGAAGTTTAATCGAAAACGTTGACAGTAATATCGTAGAACGATTTAACGGAGTGATAGCAAAATTTGTCGGAGGTTAGAGGGTAAATTATGCCCTTAAACGTGCATATCAAGCCAGATGTGCTGGTGCGGTTGTATCATTTAATACAGGGCGAATTCTCACTGCAGTCCATAAGACCATTCATAGTGAGAGTCCTCATTCACGAATAAAAAAATTTGAAATGGATGTAGAGAGAAAGAGAGCATACAACCAAAGTTTTCAGCGTAAGAAAAACAGAAAATTTTTTCCCAAGAAGATAAACTTTGAATACGGGGAAAACGCCAGTAAACCAGACAGCCGCAGAAACGTACGAGCTTGCAAAAACAATATTTCTGGACAGTTTGAAAAAGATGGAAGCTGAACGTCATGAGATAGAGCAAAGAACCATTCTACAGAGTGAAAGTGGGGAATGGTTAGAGCTGCGAAGAAATCTTTTGACGGCCTCTAACTTTGGAAAGATATGTAGTTAAAAGAAAAAAAACCAGTCCATGCAATAATATTGTTAAAAATATGCTATATAAACCAAACATCGATCATGTTTCCTCTATAAATAAATTTTATAAAATCCGATTTGTATGAAAATTAAAATAATTAAAATGAAGATATCAATTTTCTGACTTCACCATACCATTTATATGTCCATGTTAACATGGGCTAGTGTCGGCTTATATACCCATTTACCTAACACCCTGTATATCACGGGAAAAAATATGAAAGTGTTGCTCTGGACCAACTTTCAAAACTCCAAAATATTAATATTCAACCATGTGGACTTTTCATTGATGATCAGCATCAATTTTTAGGGGCAACCCCAGATGGAGTTACAGATGACATAATTATAGAAATAAAATGTCCCGTGGCAGCATTTAAAAGTGGAATAGACGATGCAATAAATAATAATAAAATGCATTTCTGGAAGAAAGATAAAAAACATAATCTTTGAATTAGTAAGTAAATGTCTGTCTTTTATGGCATACTTTGTGTCTGTTATTAACTGCTGTAATTTGTTTCAAAATTTCTCAATATGTGGTTCAAAATCAAAATCAAAATTATCTTTATTTGTTTAGACTAATTAAATTAGTTCTTGCAAATCGTCAAATGCTCTTAAGGAGCCTATACATGTCTCATTCTTTTTTTGCCCTACCAGCGCTGGCGCTGGTTCTTACAGCCTATCTTCTCAACTGTGACTATGGTGTAGGGTCTGGTTGCTAAGATCCTTGAGTATGTGCTACTATCCCCGTCAGCTATAAACCTAGAATAAATTAACCCATGGATTTCGACAGATTTTTTAAATCCTTCAGCAATAATTGTGCTTTCCATGGCAGTGGAAGGCCCATCAAAGTTTTTAAAACATTCATGCTGCTTGACCTGAAATAATAAAAATACGATAACCTAATAATCAATAAAAAGTTTTAGTGTTACCTATATGAGTATTAAGTTTGAACTGAAAAAGTAAATAATATTTTTACCACTTCATTGAGTTTTTCAGCCCTTGCACAAATGCAACAATATTTATTTTTCACGGCCATGAATAGTACTTGGCCAAACCGCCGTCCTATGATGGCAGCTGCACCAGACAAAGCAGAATAATTGGTTCTGTACGATCTTTTACACCAACAACCGTCTAGTATGACGTCTATAATCGGGATGCCGTTTTTATCTATTCTATTTTCTTTTAAGGCCGCTTCTCTCTCCCGTTCCCCTGCTAATTTCATCGACTCCCATGCTGTGACCTCCCATTCGTCAAATACTTCATCTTGATTTATTTTATAAGTATGTTCGGACATTATCGGTATATCGAGTGATGCTGAAATTTGCTTTAATTGAGCATGACCGCAGCCTGCAGCTATTACCCCTTCCACAGCTAATTTGTTGAGTTGAAGGTTCGAGGATTCTATTTTAAACTGTTGTTTGCACATTTTGCACTGAATAAGAAACTGGGATATAAAGCTGTTGTTTTTTTCTGATTTAATTTCCATTGAGTGCAGGCCACATTGAAATAAAGACTCATGACCTGAAATTTTAATTAATTGCTCGAAAAAATGATTAATTTCGATAACTCGATGTCCTCTCAATTCAAAGTTTACAAAATTCTGAAACAAAAAAAAAATAAGTCATTTATTCCAAAATTGTTTAACTGATAAAAAATATAAAATGCCGTATTGAGACTTATTATCTTGATACGTTACTTGCAATGGAGAAATAGGAGATTCTTCAGATGTTTTTTCACTTGCAGTCGACTCCATGGGCCGGTATTCAGTAAGGCTTATTTCTTTTTCTTTTAGGTCCGAGGGTAGGGTTAAAGGCAAGTTGGAGTATACCCTTAGAGGCACTGTGGGCGGCCTAAAAATCAATTTCAGAAAAAAAAAATACTTAGAATTTTTTTACTTCTGGTACCTAGGTACTTTTTCGACCAATTTTTCGACTATGATTATTCACCTATAATTAATAATAATTATATCGCGAGCACATAATTTTGTCATTATAAACTTTTCCGGTATGATGTACCATTTACGAGAAAAAAAAGTTATAGTCATACGATTTATTATTTGTAATAATATTTCCGAAAGTATGCATCCCAAGAATATCAAGCATAATATGACAAAATATGATACACTTTATTAATGAATTAAAAATAAAGAGTGCTTATGAAGACACCGATAAAAATCGAAATTTTTCTAAATATCAATTTCTTCTACTTATATGTATCCTTGAGGGTTCTGGTTCATTTGCACGAAAAGACATGAGCGCGAAAGACACTATGTTTCCATATTTTCGCGCAAATGTCTTTCGCGCAAGTGTACCGATTCGATCCTTGAGGGCAAACGACATGCTTTTATTATAAAATTGATTGATTGATTTTGTACACTTGCGACTTTTTCGTCGAAAATTCCAATCCTACACAACCCCCCTTTTTATGTTTTCTATGGATAGGGGGTTGGATATCATTTTTGGTCAAGGTCACTTTATCTGAAGTCAACCAAAAATTTTCTAAGTCCTGATCACTTTAAATTACTTTTCACCCTTCACCTTCGCGAGGGTTGACTTCAGAGCAAAGTGACCTTAATAAAAAATGATCTCCATCCATACCACAATCCATAGAAAATATAAAAAAGGGGGGTTATATAGTATTGGAATTTTTGATGAAAAATTTTCTGTCCTTTATTCTGTAAAACATTGAATTATATTTCTTCGATTCATTCAACATAACCAGGTAGTCATTTTAGCCTACAAGGTACATATCGCATGCTATAGAGATTTTTGAAATCGAGAATCGATATTTGAATTCAATTGATTTCCTAACACGCTTGGTCACGGCACTACTCGGCGCGAGACGCCATTCATTTAGAGATTGCCCAAATAGCAAAACTTTTATAATATTGATCGAACTTCACTTATGAAGTTCGATTGATCTCATAAAATGTCAAATAACAAAAACAGTCGATTTCATAAAAATATGTACCTATATGTTGACGTAAAATAAAAGGGTTAGTCCCAACGGCCCCGGTGGATCTGCCCCGTCAACGGGGTGGATGGGAAAAAGTGCCCATGCCCTAAAAGTAATCTATAGGTTTATGACCATAATATTTTGTGACAATTAAACTTACTTTTATACTGAAGATTTTTTAAACAGTGACTGTTAAATAAAACTGATTATTATTTACATATTATTATTTTTTATTTTATTAACAGGTTTTATTTTCGGTATGCAATACCGAGGTAGAACCTTTTAGATCTGTGTCATCCGTAACGTTAAGTGAAATACCGGGGTGGTTGAAACTTGATTTGATCCATCCGCCCCGATAAACGATATACCGGGGTGGTTGACACTTGATGTGTTCCATCCACCCCATTGAACGCTAAGACTATGACTACCGGGGTCGTTGAAACACTTTTTCCCATCCACCCCGTTGACGGGGCAGATCCACCGGGGCCGTTGGGACTAACCCAAATAAAATTGTTTTGTAATAAATAATAGGTAGGTAGGTACTTACGGCAAAACAGCAACTTTCAAAGTTTGTAATTTTATTTCAGCATCATTCATACCACTTGTCATATTATCAATGTCAATATCATGCAACTCCACTTTTTTTTGTTCTGTTGTTACATGTTTACTAATAATCAAATTGACATCATTGTTGGTCTTGTTTAATAAATCTATTTTAATCCTGAAAAATAATAGGTAGGTATTTGTTTTTGTTTAGAAAGTATTATAACAGTGTACAACTGTACATACATTTTTATGTAAGTAACTAGGTAGTATAACTACTTACTTTTTCTTTAATCTTATATCACTGGCTACTTCCCTTTTGCGTTTTAAACTTTCTCGTTTAGTCACTTTTGCTTTTTGTTTATTGGCCATCTTTTAAACAATTTACACTATATGGTTGTAGTAACAGGGTAAATAAGTAGGTATAATTAATTATCCACGACACAACTAACGGTTTTCATGAAAATAAGAATGCTGCAGCAAATAGGTACGCGATCGACGATACTATCCGTGTCCAGTGCCAGCGAGCGCACATCCGTCGTCAGTCAAGATTTCGGCCGACTGAATGCCCCGAACGTAGAGCGATAGACATATGACTTCTCCGTGCGAGGAAAGAGACAACAATAGCGCGCGGGGCGCGGAATAAAACAACGTAAGCGACAAATCGGAAATCATGTATTTATTGAAAAACCAAACTCTATATAAAGAAAATAAATTGGCCAGTGTATAGAATAGGTTTTTACCTTACCAATATACAAAATTTGGTATTTAAATATTAGCCTATCTGCTTATAAAATAAAAAACCGAGTAATTGAAGGGTAATCTTTAGATTTTTTTTCTATCGAGAAAATTGTTTCCATTCATGTTTCGGCTTTAGCCACATACTAGATTTATTTGTCAACTATGACATATTTCAAAATAAGAACATAAGTTATAGGAAAAGTACGATTAAAACTAATTCTGCGCTTCTTTAAAACGCCCAATATTCGCGTGGCATCGCCTTAAAGCAAAATAAAGAAAGCGTGGTGGGTATTGGGCGCTTGACTTACTTGACTTACGGTCCTATGTCCCCTAGATGGGGCAGAGGGCGTCCACAACAGCCTTCAGGTTCAGAATGTCCAATTCCCAAAATGTCCAACGGTTTCAAAATGTCCAATTCCCGGAATGTCCAATTCCCGAAACGTCCAATTCCCAAAATGTCCAATCTACTATCATGATGGGATTGTTAAATAAGTCCTCATAGGCTTTCTTAAAAATATTTAATAAATAACCATACTTAAATTTAAATAATCATATTAATAATTTATTTATTTACAAATTATTCTTTCCTTTTTAGGTCAATAGAAAAAAATATAAATAACTATACCTACTCGTACGAGTATCAAGTGCAGTAGCTACAAAATTTTTCTACGTAATTTTTGCAAATAATACAAATTTTCTATGTTTATATGCCGATTTTACAAAAACTAAACGCATTCGTACAGAAATATATTAATTACTCATTTTAAAGAAAGGCTATGAGGACTTATTTAACAAACGCATCATAATAGTAAATTGGACATTTTGGGAATTGGACGTTTCGGGAACTGGACATTTCAGGAATTGGACATTTCGGGAATTGGACATTTTGGGAATTGGACATTTTGGGAATTGGACATTCTGGGAATTGGACATTTTGAAACCGTTGGACATTTTGGGAATTGGACATTCTGAACCTGAAGGCACAACAGTCCTCCATCTCGTTCGGTCTTGAGCTTCTCGCTTGATCTCGCTCCAGGTCTTGCCGATCTTCTTCGCCTCGTCCGCTACAGTGCGCCGCCAAGTTTGCCTGGGTCGACCACGTTTGCGTTTTCCTTGGGGATTCCAATCCAGAGCCTGCTTAGAGATGTGATCGGGGTCCCTTCGGAGAGTGTGGCCAATCCAGTTCCACCTGCGGCGCTTGATCTTATTGGGTATTGGGCGCAGCATTACTGTTATCTAGGGAAATGTACATTATTCAGTGCTCACGTGTTCACAGGCATCCCCCACGGGCACGTTACGACCGCGGCGTGCGCGCGCGCGTTCCGCCGACGAGTCGTGGAAGAACGCGCTGTCTCCGCGCGAGAGCTACGACGATTGGGTCATACACGCGGATGAGATACTCATTGGAGCTCGGATAGGTGAGATTACATGCTTCTTTTTCTCAGTTGTTCTTGGCAGAGCGCTTGTGATGACGTGGAGGCGTCCACGTCGATTGCAGAAGTGGATACAGCTCTTCGCATGATCTACCGCCATCTTTTTAGTTTCAGTCTCTAGAGTGTGCAACGACATTTAGGATGTGCAGAAGAGGGTAGAACTGTTAAACTGTTTTTCAAGTTATGTATAATTTTCAAATGTTTATAAGAAAGCTTGTTTCACACTACTAAAAAGATAAAAAAAAAAATTACATAAGCATAATGATTGACTTCGATTGGGGATCATCGTATCCGTAGCTAGCTATTCTGGCTCACAGTCCCTCGACTGTAACTGGCACCTATGCGACCTTGTCACACTGGCGCAATCTATAATAAAAAATCTAAAACACATAGAACAATACATATTTCGGACAGTTACAGAAGGGTAACTTCATTGTAACACCATTGTCAAAGTTACTTTTTACTAGTTGAAGTAGGTTCAACCCAAGATCACTACTGTTTAAGAAATCCCCGTACAGATGGCGCTGGCGTAGTTTAATCTGTTTTACCTTGGGCGCAGGGTCGGGCAGTTTCGGGACGGTGTACAAGGCGCACTGGCACGGGCCCGTGGCCGTCAAGACGCTCAACGTCAAGACGCCCACGCCCGCACAGCTGCAGGCCTTCAAGAACGAGGTACAGTAGTCTACACACATCAACACTTGACTTCTTTACTTTAGTATCATGTAAAATCAAAAATCAAAATCAAAATCAAAAATATTTATTCAGTTTAGACCACAAGTGGCACTTATGTAACTTGTCTTACTTTTATCACATGTGTGTGTGCTTAGATTTAAAATAGGCTGTATCATAATCTTAAANGCTGTCGTATAGACGTAGCTACAGTGTATCCATGAAATTTTAAATGCCACACGGTGTTGTTGAAAGGTCGGCAGATATTAAATTAATGTCAATAGCCCTAATGGCCCATTTCTAACAATAGACACCGCCATTATGTCACAAAAGCAAATAAATGCGTGTGTTGACTGTCAATAAATCAAGCAATATTGTCACCTGAGTGACGTCATCCGAATTGGAATCGCGACCGCCGTTTGTTTTATGCCACGTCACCGTGTGTGTGCGATGAACTAATTGTTATCACTTTTGTCCATTAACGATGAGGCATAGTGTCCGCTGTGATATTCCTTTTTTATACGTCTATTGTGTCTCATTACTGGGTCTTTCCCACATAACAATACCTACTGTTGCTAAGCAGATGTTAGTCGTAACCTTAACTTCGAAATCCTTCTATGTTCTTCTGATTAATTTCGTTCTGGGTCCAATGACAGTTTAACTTTCCCCCGGGACAAACTTGACCTTTGGTTGGGTTTTCATTGGCGGTCAAGCCGTAGATCCTAGCTACACAGGAGTTCCAGCGGTGGGAACGAGAGGTGGGAATAGTCTTTAGACGTATATCAAATTACCAATGCCTCAAATTCAGTGAGAATAACAATAATTGTACCTTAAAAGTTCACAAGTTACTGTGATTTTAATGGTACGGGACTATTCCCACCTCTCGTTCCCACCACGGCAACTCCTGTGTAGCCAGGATCTACAGTTTGACCGCCACAAAAACCCAACCAATGAATGTCAAGTTTATCCCGGGGGAAAGTTAAACTGTGATTGGACCCGCAACGAAATTAATCAGAAGAACATAGGAGGAGTTCGAAATTAAGGTTTGACTTCCCTTTATTTTAATGGTACTAATTACCAAGCTCGTTTCCCTCAAGCAGGTTCAACGTCCACCGCAGTCCCATATAGTCTGTGCATTGTTTCTCTGTGGGAAGCGCCGCGCCAAGGCCGCTTCCCACGGCGCATTATCTGTGCTGCCCTAATGAATTACATTCTAATTATGCTGTTGACCCAGTTCATTATAGCATTTTTAATTATTTTTACAGTTCTAAAATTGATATGAATGTACGTGCCAATTTATCTGATATTTTGTTAGGTACGCCTTTTGCATAGCCTTTTAACTCCACATACACAAAAAACGTGTTAATATCGCGTATAACTTTGCCCAAAATTTTTTTGCAACAATCACGGTGAATTCATTAGAAAGAATACAAAACTTCTGTTTTGCTGAAAAGCTTATATCAACAGCTTTTAATAAAATCAAAAGATAATCCTAAAGACAGGATTACTGCAATTTCAAAACCCATTAGTTGTTCCCCCATACACGTGTCAACAATGGGAAATGTCGCTTTCCATTGTTACCTAACTTATTAGCGACCTAATTAACGCCCGGCGAATGCTAATCGTAACGTCGCAGATACGGTTTCACAAACACTATGTTAATCAGCCGAATGTTACCCGATCGTTTTGGTTACAAAACGCTGTTGCTAAGAGGAAATAAACGTTTCAATGTTAAAATCGAACAGTGATAGTAGTTGTTTCCTCTTTTTCAATAGTAAAATAAGTTAGTTTCGTACCCTCCCTTTATACTAGCTGATTCGTGGTATCCTTGTCCTCCTACAATTTTGGCAAAGAATCTTCTAGAATATGATATCTTGAAAAGAACCATGAATCAGTCATTCTCAGCAGCAACGAGCCGGTTCCGAATGTCATTGCTTTAAAGACTGAGGACTGTCAATCATTTTAGGATAATATGAAAAAGTTCTTGGAGACAAACAAAAATACATCTGTGGGCTATTTTAACGGCAGGCAGTACATTTAGTACATTTGAACATCAGTTCCATTGATCATCATCATTTCAGCCATAGGACGTCCACTGCTGAACATAGACCTCCCCCAATGCTTTCCACGTTGATCGATTGGTAGCGGTCTGCGTCCAGCGCTTCCCTGCTACCTTTGCGATGTCGTCGGTCCACTTTGTAGGTGGACGTCTCACGCTGCGTTTTCCGGTACGCGGCCTCCGTTCCAGAACCTTGCTGCCCCATCGGCCGTTAGTTCTGCGTACTATGTGCCCTGCCCATTGCCACTTCAGCTTGCTAATCCGTCGGTCATTAGGTAAAAAATACATCATAAAATGTCTTTTCCAGGTCTCAATGTGCGAGAGAAGGCAAAACAGCTAGTTAACCTTCTGAAAGACGAGGAGAGGCTGAAGAATGAGCGAGCGCGCGCGCTGAAAGCGAAACAGCGCTTCGCTCAGAGCGCGAGCGCTTTCGGCAGCGACGGCGCGCTCGACACGCCTTCTAGCCCCACCTACCCACCAGTAGAGGTAAATATTTTCATTTTTATTAACCCATCAAACCCCAATAGGTCGCATAAGACCGCGTAGCAATGAGGGTTTTGAAAAATCCGCCAGATGGCAATACGTAACGCGAGGTCCAAATGCTGCGTGATTGGTGGACTTTGACATATCTGTCAATATCATGTCAAAAATAACCAATCATGCAGCATTTGGACCTCGCACCTATGTATTGCCATCTGGCGAATTTTTCAATCGTGAAAACCCTCATTGATTTCTATTGTGTCTCGTTTCGCGGGGCTCATAGGACTACCAGAAAAATTTTTTTTAGAAAATCCTGTTACGTAAAATAATGAAAGAATGTTAAGTTTGCGACATTAATGAATGGTGAATGCAATTATTGGAATTTTTGTCATGTGATCTACTTCAAACAAATAATCGAAATGTTAACCACTTAAGGGCTGATTTTTCAATCGTCAGATATCTTTTATAGTCTATCCAATATAGCTTGATTAGAATGACAGCTGCCATAAAAAGTAACGACATAACTTTGTAGTAGCGATCAATGAGAGCTAAATATTGGCGCACAAGAAATAATTTACGTCTGACCTACAAACAATATTTTCGACGACAGTGCTTCCAATAAAAATGTTAATTTCGTGTAAATGCAGCGTTAAATTACACCAATAAGTAGTAATTCGAAATTATAAAAATCAAGCTAGAGTAATAACGACGTCTCTACAAGGTTATCTCGAGTTACAAAAATGTTAGTGTTGGGACATATCTACAAATGTCATATTAAATTAAAACTAATTTTTTAACATAATATTTAAAAAAAAAAATTCTAACTAATTTTTTAACATATTTAATTCAAGTTATACGTTTTTCTAAATGTTCACTATTAAAAACCAAAAAACATTTCATTCTTAAATAATCAAACATCGGAAATCAATCACCGGTAATTTTTTGGGTATTCATAGCACCGTTGCTCTAGAAGAGATGCCCACCGCCCTCTAGCGAGAGGAAAAAACCACTGAAGAACACTGATGATAATGACTACGACTTAGGTTGNTTCTGCAAAAAAGTATGTATACCTTCGTACACAACCAGATCTGAGTCTGGTGGTCATAGTAAAAGTTGTTCATCTTGGTAAGACCTTTCAAACGATACTAGACACATATCTATTGGAGCCGGGTACCATTTTGCCCATTGTCCTTTAGACTGTTTGAGGGGCTGATGAGACATTGGCTTATAGCTACCCCGTGGTAGGCTTACTCGCGGACTAGTTTCTTCACATCGGTTGAGAATGCCGCAGCGTAACGCAAAGCACACGACACGTGTTTGAATATGAACGCTATTAGACAGGCGCCCACGGCCCACGATTGTCTCGAGTTTAGCAGGCATCGGGGCGGGCATCGCAGACCCGTTCTCGAAACAAGCGGGCAGCGCGCGCGGCGCTTTAGCGGCGAAGTGTTGTGTTCGGGGTTGTGTTGTCGAGATATTTGTTTTTATTCGCAAACGAAATGTCTGAACAACGGCGACAATTTTATTTCGATTCAAATTTATTCCTAACGCTCGATTTATTGTGGGCAAAAGAAGGAGTGCGCTGCCCGCTCGTTGCCCGCTCCCGCGCCGCGGTTTTCGAGAACCGGTCTATTTGATTTTACGCATAAGATCCTGCCACTCCCGCGCCGCTACCGCCGCCGCCCCGCTGCCCGCTGAATTCGAGGCTGAGGCCTAATAGACAGGCGCACGCGGCGATTGTCCGCCGTGAAGCGCAGGCTTGCCTCTGAAGTCTGGAGCAAACACCTGCTCAAGTTATAGTATAGACTTAGCTTAGCTTTTGATTTGCAACATATTTAGTCTGTTATCTGACCGTTGTCTATCGTCCAGGTGGCGGTGCTACGCAAGACGCGGCACTGCAACATCCTACTATTCATGGGCTGCGTGTCGAAGCCGTCTCTGGCGATCGTCACGCAGTGGTGCGAGGGCTCGTCGCTGTACCAGCACCTGCACGTGTTGGAGACGCCGCTGCTGATGCTGTACCTCCTCGACGTGGCGCGCCAGACCGCGCAGGGCATGGACTACCTGCACGCCAAGAACATCATCCACAGGTGACGTGTGGGACATGATGCTCAACCACAATAAGGAAGCTAAGGTGTTAGTGCTTCCTTCCGAGCGGGTGTTATGCTTGAGGACCAAGGTCCAATGAGGGCGATTGACAGGACCTTACTCTACAGTGTGCAGTGGCGCCATCTTGATGAGTGCAATTGCGATAGTCCTCCTACCACTTTAGCGCTCACAAGTTGGTGCCACGATGTATCTTCGCTACTAGCAAGTGACAGGACCTTACTCTACAGTAGCGCTAACTGGTGAGCGCTAAAACGATAGCCCTCATTTACACCATCTTGGTTTGTAGAAAACTCCGTCACCGCGATGCAGGTTTGTATGAGCGGCGGAGTGTGCCATAGTAAAGTAGTGACAGCGCCATCTGTTGGTACACAGTTTGTAATGGCGTATCGTCGATGTCGCCACAGACGCTCACAGCCGGGTGCAGGTGATGCAGGTGCGAGCCTCGTCGCTGTATCAGCACCTGCAGTACCTGCACGNAATTTTACTGTCTTTCAATTTAAATCATAATAATTGTCATTTTTATGAATAAAGATATGAAGAAAAATTGGGTCCATTTTTTTATATCATTTTTTCGAAAACTTATCGATACATCTATGTGAACCGTACGAAACATACTCAGCACTAGTCACATTCGTTTGACAGCCGTCATTCTAATCAAGCTATATTGGATAGACTATAACTGAAGAATAAACTTGTCACTTTGACATATTTCCCATACTGAAACTGTCAATGTGCCAAACTTATTCTTCAGTTAAAAGTTATTCGACAATTGAAAAATCAGCCCTAAAGCAAATAAATAATGATTCTGTTTCTGTTCTTTAGCCATGCGTTATTTTATGTATAATAGTATTATACCACTCTGGTGTAATTAATGTAAAAAAAAATATTTTTACTCACTTTATACTGGTGCATCGCAGTGTTGCGCACGCGTCGATCGCATCCCGCATTCTTGCATGGTTTAAAGTTAAAGTTATTCACTTTTGTTTAACGATACTTTAGCCCCTTTCCACCTCAGGGAATCAGTTGCTAAAGCTGGGGCTGCAGCGGAGTCGGCTGAGTTAGCCAAACGACGCAAATATGAGTCACTATCTAATGATTACATATTTGCGCCCTTTGGTGTCGAGACCTTCGGACCTTGGGGATCGAATGCTAAATTACTGTTTTGGACCATTTCCCCTAAATTAATTAACATTTCGGAAAATCTAAATGCTGGCTCTTTCCTTGCACAAAGGTTTAGTATTGCCATTCAGCGAGGAAATGCAGCCACCATCCTCGCCTCTTTGCCTCACGGACACTTTTTTATTTTTGAGTAAAATAAGTTTGTCGGCTCGTCAGGGATTCGAACCTCAGATATTGTGGGCGAAATAGGGTATCGTGCAATGAGAACAAGACTTGTGTTCAAACACTTTTAATAATCGTCAGAGTTCAAAATCAGCACTTAGTTCTTAGTACTACAATCTAGACTTCGTCGAGCGATAAAATAGGCACTAGGTGAAACGTGGGACAGTTTCGTGACGATGTCTTCTCTAGTCGGCGTTCGGAGCGAAAGTGAGTTCGATCCATCCCGCCGTGACCGTTACGACTCTGCCGAAGCGCGCCAAAGCGGTGTTGCGCCGATTCGCCGCTAGATGGCGCACTTGCGTTTCACTTTAGTGTCCGTACTCATGACCGTCTGCGACAAGTTTATATTTTTATTTTGTTTAGAGTTAACTTTTGTTTTGTATCAGACGCCAGGCGGCGGAGCGGAATGGGCAGGGCGGGACGCGGAACTGGCGCGGCCATTGACTGCGGGAGAGGAGGAGCTTCAGCTGCAGCTGGCTCTAGCGATGTCGCGCGAGGAGGCGGAGCGCGACGAGCGCCGCCGCCGCTCCGACGACGTGAGGCTTCAGCTCGCGCTCAGCCAGTCGCAGCACGACTTCCAGTGAGTGCTCGAGCACCGATGTAGGGTCAGTCCAGACGCCGGCGAGGAGGAGCTTCAGCTGCAGCTGGCTCTAGCGATGTCGCGCTCCGACGACGTGAGGCTTCAGCTCGCGCTCAGCCAGTCGCAGCACGACTTCCAGTGAGTGCTCGAGCACCGATGTAGGGTCAGTCCAGACGCCGGCGAGGAGGAGCTTCAGCTGCAGCTGGCTCTAGCGATGTCGCGCGAGGAGGCCGAGCGCGACGAGCGCCGCCGCCGCTCCGACGACGTGAGGCTTCAGCTCGCGCTCAGCCAGTCGCAGCACGACTTCCAGTGAGTGCTCGAGCACCGATGTAGGGTCAGTGAGTTTGTGACGCGTGGCGTGGGTCATGGACGACCGCGCGGACGATGGCCTCCACTGTCATTTGCACGACATCGCCCCAACATCAACCCGATCCCTGGGCGAGCGTATCTTCCCTTGTGACCTCTTGCTGACTGAAGCAGAGGACACCAAAACCACTCAGCCTGCTTACCCGGTGGGCTAGTAACACGCTGAGGGTGAGACAGTGATGTCTAAGTCGAACTGTAGGTCCGACGATCCAACTACAGATTGAGGTCTAGTAGCCAGTCGATAATATGGCCGGGCCAAGAGCGCCAGCTCGATGCCCAAATTGACCAATACGTCGATGAACAAAGATAGATAGATCACACATACAGTACAATAACGTCATTTATGCAAATTGCGAAATTTTCATCATTTTAAAATTCAACATTCTATTGCAACGTACAGTTCTCCTTGACTAAACAAATAAAATGGTAATAATTTAACTACGACTTTGAACTTAATTTTAAAGTAAAACCAAATATCTTACAATTATATTATTATAAAAAAATGTATTATGATAAGTGACGTTATTGTACCATAAGTGCGAGATATTCCAGTGAGTCCCGTGACAAGTCACTCGTGCGAGCAAGTCCAAAAGCTTCATAAGTTTACCTCACCCTTCCTAACTCCTCCTCCCCCATAGATTAGAAGAGTACTTCCGTTCGATGTATGCGCGCGCGCCGGCTTCCATTCCCAGTGGTGCGTGGTGGCGCTGGCTGCCGTGCGCCGCGTGCCTGCCCTTACAGTTAGTGCCGGTTCGGTGCCCGATGTTGACATAACGTTGATAACATTGTACACACGGCCACACTGTTTACTATCCATTTCCGTTTTTGCTCTCGCTCTCATCAAATGGCGATTCTTTGCGATAGAACGAGACGACATGACAGGCAATGTTTAGTTAACACTGTTGCCGATGGTACATTGATAGTTGTTGGATGTTTGCCTTTTGTGAGAGGACAAAATATGTAGCAATTACGATTACCATTTCAGTGTTCTAAATATGCTGTTTCACATATTTTTCCTCTCATCAAAAAGAACATCCGATTTATAGTATGTTTGAGTAAAACACATTAATTTCATTATCTAGATACATTTCAAAAATTTGTTTATTTGAGTTTTGTAGAAATAAACTGTAATATCATTAGTTAGACTAAAATCATTCTGTTAATAAGATAGGTACATTGCAACAATACAATGTCTATTTGATTGTTGGAATAAACTGTAGTTTAATTAATTCAAGTATGTTGTGTATCGGTACAAAATTAGAATTGACAGTTACGTACCTGAAGTTTTGTCAAAAAGACAATATAGATTATCAGTGTTTCGTTTCAGCCGAATGACGTCCACTGCTGGACAAAGGTCTCCCCTAAGGATTTATACAACGATCGGTCCTGCGCTGCCCGCATCCAGGCTCTTCCCGCGACTTTCACCTCCTCAGTGTGCTTACCATGAGTTTACGTTAGGTGTACTCGCTAGCGAGTACGTCAAAGAAATCTATGAAGATATTTTTTCTTGAAAGTAGCCGCTAGGGGCGCTGCACATTATACCATACATTTTAATGTAATTTTTTTACCTTGCGTAAACTCATGTAAGCACACAGTAGGCAGTGTGGTGTCTTAAATAAAACACTGGTATATGTTCACTGTGTAAGCTAGTGCAAGCACTGACGTCCGTCCCGTGTGGCGGCCCGACTACAACTGACCCCCCACCGCGCCGTACTAGTCAGTGTTGCCATAGCGCACACACTTTATTTGTGTAGTATTACACCACAGGCAGGCCTCTCGACGATCTGGTGAAGAAGAATAACAATAACAGTGCTATTGAAAAATCTGCTAAAAGTACAGTAGAATCGCGATTATCCGGACCTCGATTATCCGGACCTCGATTATCCGGATATCCGATTATCCGGACCCATTCTTCACAGTTTCTAATTACCGATTCAGGGTCTGGACCCATAAAAACCGAAGGCGCCGCCACCGTAACATGGTACGGACGTCTTCTTAGTTCATTGTTAAAAGAAATGGATGACCAATGGTCTAAAATTTAGATTTTTAGACTCTAAAATGATGTATTGAAAACCCTTTCTATTGTAAAAAGTTAATTATTGTTTGATTTTACTTTGAAATCGATTATCCGGAACACCCCTGGTTTTAATTGATCCGGATAATCGGGAATACTGTATAGTCTTTAATTTTATCTTCCTTCATCCAGGACGCCAGACTCCACGTCGGGCAGCAGCAGCAACCACAAGAAGCCGGAGCCGCAGCAGTCGCACCTGTTAGATTTGCTCGACGTGAACTTGGGATCGCCCGCGACCGCGCCTGCGCCGCTCCCGCTGGCCGACCCTTGGGAGCTGCCGCCGCCGCAGAAACAGGTGCGTGTTGTTCACTAATAGGGTATTTATAGGGTATTTGCCATCACTAATCAATCAATTGACGTACTTTTTAAAATTGTCAAGTCTCCGTGGTTGAGGATTCCGGGTGAAGCTCGCTTACACCTTCGGCCTGATCATCACTTACCATCAGGTGTGATACAGGCCAAGAGCTTCCTCGTTGTGGATAATAAAAATAAAAAAAAAACAAGACTTCCTTAGATTTTGTATGGTAATTCAAGCCTGTGATGTCACTATTTTGTGAACTCAAACTACTCTTTTAAATTACAATGCAACCAAAAATCTTAATTTATAGGTAATTTAAAATTAATTTTATTAAGTTTTAAAACCAGAATGAAGTATCTTTTTAAAAAGATTTTGCCAATAAAAAGTAATGACGTCGTCATGATCAAGGACTCAATTGACGGACTAAATGAAGACTAAAAATCTAAATTGCCTCATGATTAAAATCATTAGTACCTGAAGGTGTTAAAAACCTAATTATTATCAAAATGATGAAATTACATCGGATGCTATAAATTATGTAATTTCGGAGTTTATTTAATTTATCATTTTTATTTTTGTTAGTCCATGCATCTGGATCTCGGAATATTTTCCGAGTCAATGGTAAGAATGTGTTATAGTAGTAAATGCTAAAGAGATATTTTTTGTGACATTTTTACGCTAGTCTAAAATATTTGTATGGTGTTACGCTATATTTGATTTATTTCTTGTATCACAATTGTGTGTTGTGTGTGTAACAACACTACTGATTATTATTAAACTAGCAATGTCCGCGACTACGTACGCGTGAAAATCATTTTTGCTCTGCACATATTACTCGTAGCGTGATGGTATATAGCCTATAGCCTTTCTCGATAAATGGGCTATCTAACACTGAAAGAATTTTTCAAATCGGACCGGTAGTTCCTGAGATTAGCGCGTTCAAGTAAACAAACAAACAAACTCTTCAGCTTTATAATATTAGTATAGATAGTTAATTTGAAGCAGGTTTAAACAGCTACTGTATAGTTTCGTATGGTGTTGTTCCGCAGGAGACGTCATCGGACGCGTGGTCAGCCGTGGGTAGCCCCGTGCGGGACCCGTGGGCCACGGGACCCGCCGGACCCACGCCGGCTGACCCGTGGGCACCTTTGGCACAGGTATGGCCTCTTACTTTTGCCACGGTGTTTTGAATAGACTTAACATTATTGCATTCTATTTATTATTTCAATTTTATTTCCTTGGCTTAAGATATGAAACCAATTAACTTTTGTCAATGTTAGCCTTATGGAAACTGGCGTCGAATTGGTTATTGATTTAATTTATTTATTTTATTTTAATTACACAGGTTTTATACCATTTTGTATTATATTTTTCTATGTTAATTATTTCGACTTCTCGCTTTGGGTGAGAAGAGTGAATAGATTAAAAAATCTCTTCACTCGAGCATTAGATGATATCAGAGGCTGTATTTGAGAAATTTTCTTATAAGCTTATGTTTTTATGAGGCAACTAATAACTTGTCCTAATCCGATTACCCCCCCCTTCAAGAGAGCATATATTTGCTTATGTTAGAAGTGGGTTTACTACAATGGCCCAGCGGTCGACGGAGATCCAAATAGCGTCTCTTAAACGATTAGTCTATAAATGTGTGCGTGTACAGTAGGCAGCACATCGAATTGAGTTTTGGTAGAATTTTGTCCAATTAACCCAAGCTACCCATTACCCATTATCCTTATCGCTCGCGCGTAATTATATTGCTGTCGCGACTGTGCGACGCGCGCCCGCAGTGAGTGTGCGAGCGCGACAGCAACATAATTACGCGCGAGCGATAAGGATGGGTAGCTTGGGGTCGTTGGACAAAATTCTACGTGCTCGCCGACCAGACTATATGTCCTACAAATAGAGTGCGTTATTGCAGAGCAAGTCGCCGGTGTCGGTGTCGTCGCCGTCGTCGGGCTCGCTGGAGCAGTTCGACGCGCTGTCGCAGCGGCCCGCGCCCGCGGACCCCTTCGAGCTCACAGCGCTCAGTAAGACAACACTATTATTATTTATTTTTTTAGCGTTAAGGTGATGCCTTGCGAATATTGGGCGTTTTAAAGAAGCGCAGAATTAGTTTTAATCGTACTTTTCTTATTACTTATGTTCTTATTTTGAAATATGTCATAGTTAACTAATAAATCTAGTGTCTGGTCGAAGCCGAAACATGAATGGAAACAATTTTCTCGATAGAAAAAAAATCCAAAGATGACCCTTCTATTACTCGGTTTTTCGTTTTATAAGCAGATAGGCTAATATTTCAATACCAAATTTTGTATATTGGTAAGGTAATAACATATTCTAAGTACTGGTCGAGTTATTTTCTTTAAATAGTGTTTGGTTTTTCAATAAATACATGATTTCCGATTTTTGTCGCTTACGTTATTTTATTCCGCGCCGCGCGCGCTATTGCTGTCCCTTTCCTCGCACTGAGAAATCAAATTTCTATCCCTCTGTGTGCGAGGCATTCAGTCGGCCGAAAACTTTTACGAGGTAGCGCCTTAAGAGCCGCATCTGATCTGATCAAAACCGAGGGAGAGAATTTACTGGAATACCCCTCCTCATGAACACAAACAAAAAAGCAAGACAAAACATCTGATTATGACCTAAGTCGATTGCAGATATAAAAAGGGGGAAAAAAAAAGAGCCGCATCTCAAACTAATTTAAAAATTATTAATAACTTGAAAGGTCGTGGGTTCAATTCCCGCCTTAGGGAGCTCGATTTTTTCAAGTTATTTATAATTTTCAAAACACTATTATTCCCCTTGAGCTATTCAATCGCTGACATAGCCCGACGGATGAGCAAGCTGAAGTGGTGATGGGCAGGGCTAATAGTTCGCAGAACTGACAGCCAATGGGGCAGCAAGGTTCTGGAGTGGAGGCCACGTATAAAGTGGAAGACGACCTCGTAAAGGTAGCAGGGAAGCGCTGGATGCAGGCTGCTACCAACCGGATGATTCAAAGTCATTGGGGGAGGCCTATGTTCAGCAGTCAGGATGTCTTGTGGCTGAAATGATGATAATGAAGCTGTTTTGAATTAGTACTGAAATCAAACTAGCCATAAAAATAACTTGCGATCTAACGTTAATTAACGTAACGTGAATGTTCTAATTTGTATAAAATCAGTCATATAGAAAGCGGACGCCTCTCGGCGCGATATGCGTCCATTGCTTCGCGCTGGATTGCTATCGGATCGCTTTCCCGCCCTGCCTCTATGTGCGCTGACTTTGACTTTGCCGCCAGTCATTATAAACACTTTTCCATCCCCAGCCGAGCACCTAAACAGCAAGCCAGTCTCGCCAGCCAGCACGGGTGCGGTGAAGAAGTCTCCGTCCGCCTTCCTGGGCGAGAACTCGGCGCTCGTGAACCTCGAGCGCCTGCTGCAGCCCGCCGCCGCCGAGCCGCCCGCGCCCAACCCCTTCGGCGAGGCGCGCCACATGTTCGCCAGCCCGCAGCCCGTGAGTACACTGCGGAAGAATTAGCTATTGATAATATTCATATAGTTGTTGGAATTCACGAAGGCGAGTGAGCTTTACATTGTTAGTTTTTCAAAAGTTTTGATAGACATTACACTATCGTTATGTGCATGTATACGTACGTACACACAAGTAAAGCTCATTCACCTTCGTGAGTTGCAAGAACTATACTAATATTTATACCTTAGCTACGCTACACGTTTCGGCGCTTCGACAAAGTACCAAAGTTAGCCGAGAAGTCACGAGACTTCGAGTTTAAAGTTAAATAAGAACACTGCATTTAATTTTGCTGCAATACCGGTAATAGTCGGAAATCGGGCAAGGCAAGGTTACTCGAAACGAAATGAAGTGCGTGGCCACACTAAGGCTGGGTTGCACCATCTTACTTTAACTTTGACAAACGTCAAAAATCTGTCAAACTCCATATAAAAAACATCGGTTATCGTTATAGTTACGGTCAAAGTTAGGTGGTGCAACTCAGCCTGAGATGGCCGACTTCGTGAGTGGTGTAGCTGAGGTATTATACTTTCAATCTCCGCGAATGAAGATACAATCGAAATTAATTGTTACGCGGCTGTCTTATGTGACCGCTTAAGGCTTGGTATTTCTTCTAAAGTAGGTATTTAAGTAATTGACAATGAAAGCGTATCTTCTAGCAACTCTTCGGTTTCTGATGCAGAAGTGCACATTCTTCCACAAGAGAACAAGTTTCTCAGACCAGTGATTAGCCATCTAACTCAGAACCATCACAGCGGAGGTTTTTAGGTCGCTACTTTGACTGCGGAAGAAAGCGAAATAAAGTTCTGGAAATACTTGTAATTCGTGCAACAAATTTATTTGTCCTTATCATTCCATGATGGCCTGTATCTCTTTTTCAAAATATAATTAACTAGCGGCCGCCCGCGACTTCGTACGCGTGAATCCTGTTTTTCCCGCTAATTCCCGTGGGAATTTCGGGAATTCCTTTCTTAGTGCACCTCTACGGTACCTAAGCTACGTCCCTTTCAAATTTCAAGTGCCTACGTTTAGCCGTTTAGGCTGTGCGTTGATCTGTCAGTCAGTCAGTCAGTTTCTCCTTTTATATATTATAACAACTGTGACTCCATGTTGTCCAACCAAAACCCGTCATCTTTTTTTATTATTTCGGTTTTTATTTTGTTTTGACCATACCACACAGCTAATAAGCATTTCTCTTTTTTACAAACATGTAATTGGCCTTGGATTTGAAAATACCAGTCTGATTTTTTATTTACATAAATATTGCCTGTTTTTTTATCTTTCTTCCAGAAATGCATTTTATTATTATTTATTGCATCGTCTATTCCAGTTTTAAATGCTGCCACGGGACATTTTATTTCTATAATCATGTCATCTGTAACTCCATCTGGTGTGGCCCCTAAAAATTGATGCTGATCATCAATGAATAGTCCACATGGTTGAATATCAATATTTTGGAGTTTTGAAAGTTGGTCCAGAGCAACACTTTCATATTTTTTCCCGTGATGTATAGAGGAAACATGATCGATGTTTGGTTTATATAGCATATTTTTAACAATATTATTGCATGGACTGGTTTTTTTTCTTTTAACNCATTCATATGGTTTTCATGATAATTGCAATAAAAATATTTGCAAAGATCTAACCCAAACACCTGATATTAAAAAACATTTCAACACTCAACTATTTCAGCAAATTTCATATTTAACTAGAAATTGTGCATCGCAAGCAAGAAGTTTAATCGAAAACGTTGACAGTAATATCGTAGAACGATTTAACGGAGTGATAGCAAAATTTGTCGGAGGTAAGAGGGTAAATTATGCCCTTAAACGTGCATATCAAGCCAGATGTGCTGGTGCGGTTGTATCATTTAATACAGGGCGAATTCTCACTGCAGTCCATAAGACCATTCATAGTGAGAGTCCTCATTCACGAATAAAAAAATTTGAAATGGATGTAGAGAGAAAGAGAGCATACAACCAAAGTCTTCAGCGTAAGAAAAACAGAAAATTGTTTCCCAAGAAGATAAACTTTGAATACGGGGAAAACGCCAGTAAACCAGACATGGCCGCAGAAACGTACGAGCTTGCAAAAACAATATTTCTGGACAGTTTGAAAAAGACGGAATCTGAACGTCATGAGATAGAGCAAAGAACCATTCTACAGAGTGAAAGTGGGGAATGGTTAGAGCTGCGAAGAAATCTTTTGACGGCCTCTAACTTTGGAAAGATAGTTAAAAGAAAAAAAACCAGTCCATGCAATAATATTGTTAAAAATATGCTATATAAACCAAACATCGATCATGTTTCCTCTATACATNAATAAGACGAAATATAAAAATTTCATCCGTTAAAAGCCCTCAAGTTATTTATGAACTTTAGTTTAGTAAAAGATTCAGAATCTCAAATCGCTTATTTTAAAAATAAAACCATTATTAGAAAACGAATAGAGGTAACTTTGGGAATTTATTCTATCGAGTCAACTTCATCAAATCGTGTTTCCATCCGTTAATAGCCCTAGAAAATATCCTCAACTATGCCTAAAAAAAATCTTAGCCTTTTATTTTACTGTTTAGTACCTCAAAAATGAAAAATGAAAACCTCATTTTCGCCATTTTCTCTGTTACCCGGCCTTAAACTACATGGCCTGGTGAACCTCGTACCGCCTAATAGTCATTCCACATGATGTAATTGCAATACGGTGTACACCGTAACCATTTTGCTGCATCAGTAAGCACATAATTATTATCTACTTGCCTAAGCGTTGGCGCGACACTACAGCGCACCTTGTGGTATACAATGCATGTCTGTATGTATTAATACGCTGCGGTGGTACCAATATACCCAAGCTGTAGTCCGTGGATGAATGCGTGATAAATTATCACACTGACAAAATTTAGCGGGGAGTTGCGCCTAATGATGATGAATTTTCTTAGTGTGTGCGTGCGCGCCGCATACGTATTGGCGCGCGCTCACATACAAACCGCGCTCGAAGATGACCTACTCGTTTGTATTTACTCTGATATCACGGCGCACATCCTAGCCTAAGAGTAGGCGCACACCGTTGATTTTTAGTTGGCCGATAGTTGTGCCCGATTTTAAATTGTATGAAGAATCGGCCAAATCGAATCGGCGTAGTGTGCGCACTCCCATACATGCCCATACTGATCAACTGCCCGAATAAACTATCGGCCGACGAACAATCAACGGTGTGCGCCTACTCTTAATCTAAATGTCGGCCGTTTGGTGTAGTGGTTCGAAACGGACTACTATTCCGGAGGTAGCGGGTTCGATTCCCGCACAGTACAAACATTTGTGTGCATGAACATATTTGTATGTATTGGACTGGGTGTTTTCTATGTATAATAAGTATGTATTTACAAAAAAAAAGTATTTAAGTGTGTTTATATCCGTTGTCTAGTACCCATAGTACAAGCTCTGCTTAGTTTGGGACTAGAAGCGCAATGTAAAATGTCTAAGGATATTTATTATTTATTTATTTTTATTTATACGTGTGTGTCCCGCAGCCGCGGCTGACGATCAACGAGCTGAAGCAGCAGCAGCTGGGCATGACGGGCGTGTTCCCCGCGCCCGCCGCACCAGCCGCGCCCGCGCCCACGCTGCACCAGGCCGCGCTCTCGCAGCCGCCGCTGCAGCAGGTGAGAGCCAATGTCTGAGGGCTTAGTGCGAGTTTACATCTAACGTCGTTACTAGCAGAGTAAATACAAATGAGTAGGTTATCTTCATAGAAACGCACCGAGCGCGGTTTGTATGTGAGCGCGCCAATATACGTATGCGGCGCGCACGCACACATTGAAAAAATTCGGTGCAACACCTGCACCCCGCTAATCCCCGCTAAATTTTGTCAGTGTGTGCGTGCGCGCCGCATACGTATTGGCGAGCTCACATACAAACCGCGCTNATGTGAGCGCGCCAATATACGTATGCGGCGCGCACGCACACATTGAAAAAATTCGGTGCAACACCTGCACCCCGCTAATCCCCGCTAAATTTTGTCAGTGTGTGCGTGCGCGCCGCATACGTATTGGCGAGCTCACATACAAACCGCGCTCGGTGCGTTTCTATGAAGATAACCTACTCATTTGTATTTACTCTGTTACTAGCGAGCGCGTTAAAAAAATATATGAAGATTTTAGTTCTTGAAAGTTTTCGCTAGGGACGCTGTACAATCCGTCATACATTATTTAATGTCACTTTTTACTGAGTCGACGTCGAATGCGTTTGACGTAAACACACTATTACGCCCCCTGATACCCGTTCAATATTTATCTTTTTATTCTGAGGGCCTCTGTTAAAAGGTGCGTGGACGCCCGGCGCGTGCGCCTGCCTATTAACGCGAGTGTGAAAACACGTCACACGCGTCACGCGCTGCTCATACTAAATATTGCTCATTCGATAAAGACCCGCGTGCCCTAAAGTCTTATTCACATTAGTCGAATTATTTAGTCGAGAAACGAGTAATTTAATAGCTAAACGTGTCTGATCACCAACATTTTTGTTTGCATTATGCAATTTTATTGTAGTGTTGTTATCTGTCTATTGGAATGGGAAAGCAATCTATTTGTCACACTTTTTCGAATACACTGATGAATGGATTTTGACATTGCTATTTGTTTATAATGAGTAGGACTGAAATAAAACATACTAATTTGTCTCAACAGTTTATTAGCGCGAATTTATTATATTCGCCCACCGATATACAAACTAACCTAACTTAGTACATACCTTAATGATATAAGTAGACAAATAAATAAAGTTGGGAGGAAATATTTTAATATTAAATTACACAAAGTATTAGACAATTGATACATATTATTGATTTTTTTACAATGTATTTTGAACAATACATTACACTAAATATAATTACATACAATTAACATCAAGCAAATCCGAAACTTTAAAATGTAGTGCCTCGAATTCAACAATGGACGTCACTCAGTCATTTGACGCCAAATCTCAAGAGCATCCAATTTCAGTGAATCGGTTTGATCCAATAGTGGGTAGCCAATGTCCTTGATGACAACAGTTGGTACTTATTGTTCATCTTTGTTTGGGTTGTGACAACTCAGCTTACAATTGAGATTGCCTTTTTGTCAGATCTTAAGAGCAGCCAGAGGTGTCTGATATAAAAAGTCCATAACAGTCCGAGTCATCTGTATAATCCATACCAACCATGAACGGTGTGTATTCTTGCATCTATTAATTGTGTCCATTTTGGAAAGCTGCAGCTTGTACTGCAATGTCGGTCTGGAAATACTTGATGGATTAAACGTTAGCTTCTGATTCTGCGGACGTCGTAAATATGATAGATGTACTGATGTTGTGGCTGGGTTTCATTGGAGCTTGGTACACCACTGTCCATTGAGTAGTAGAATCAACAGTGTGACCATATGGACTGCTTAGATAGGCAGCTCGTCCCAAGGATTTGTCTTTTGTTTTACTAACAGCGGTCAGTGACTGTCGTCTTCAATATTACATTAAAGTAAACATATTGTGTTACTTTGTGACTTCAGCGAAGATTGGGCGCCATGCAAGCTTGGCTTGATGTAGATAGGATAGCGCCATCCTGGTGCAGACTGCATACCATGTGACTTGTATACCCGTGCACTGAGATAACTTGCCGTTTAGCTTTGGTGTACCGATGACCCGATTTTTGCTGGTATATCTATAGTTGAAACATCGATACTGTGGTAAATGAATTAAGAATACAAAATACTTTTAACAGAGTCAACATTATGTTATTGTTAAAGTTTTAATGATAATAATTGACTATATGACACACAGACCTTAATAGTTCCATACTGTTCTATTGTTATATCACGCGCAATTAACAGTGTCAATTACCTATAGCATGTAGGCAAATATGTAACTAACAATCGTTATACAGATAAAACAATAATATTTAATTTAATATGCTTTTAAAAAATCATAGAAACGAAGAACAGAACATTATTTCTTGTGACATAAGGCTGGTTTTTAACTAAATACATTTCTCATAAGTTGAACAGTAAAGTATTAATTTCCCACGAGTTGAACGATATAGTAATTTAAACTATTGTTAAATACATAATGCGTAGTATAATAATAAATAAATAGTATTAAGTTTATCCAGGACAAAAAAAGATATAGAAATTGTATGTAGAATATTAAAATACATAACAGCTTTATTTCATTACAGATTTTATTTCATTTCAATTACATTACAGATTTCTTTATTAAACAATAACATTTTTTGAAAAAGAGTGAAAAGATACATCTAAATCTAAAAATTAAACCTAAAGTGATTCTAAATATCAACATCAATGCGTCTATTTCTAACTAAGCTTATAATTTTTTCCATGTCATCACTCAAAACTCTATCCTTATCGCAGAATGTTACCTCAGAACGTACTACGTCATACATTTTCTCTATGGCGGGTGAAAATTTATTCGGTCTTCTGAAATCTAAGCCTTGCACAGCGAACATTAGTTCGATCGCTAATATTTTCTCAACATTGTTAATAATCCAATTAAATTTTCTACCGCTAATACTCCCCATAGACACGTGGTCTTCCTGCCCCAAGGATGTTGGTATGCTGTCGGCTGAAGAAGGAAAACAAAGCGATTTATTTTCCGACGTGATAGCGGCGGTAGTATATTGCCCTAACATCAATCCCGAATTGAGCCCCGAGGAGTTAATCAAAAACTTTGGTAAACCGTACTTTCCCTCCAAAAGCAAATAACATCTCCTGTCCGATATGTTCCCTATCTCTGACATAGCTACCGCGCAATAATCGAGCGCCATCGCGAGTGGTTGGCCGTGGAAGTTACCGCCACTTACGCTACTGCCGTCGTGAAGTATCAAAGGGTTGTCAGTTACCGAGTTGAATTCGACCTCCACCAACTCCTTTAAATGGTTCCACGCTGTTCTAGACGCCCCGTGCACTTGCGGGATGCACCGCAGCGAATACGGGTCCTGAACTCGACCGCAATTCGCGTGTGATTTTACATTCTCGGACCCTTCCAGAAAATGCCTAACCCTTTTGGCTACCAGAACATTAGTCTCGTAATTTCTTATTTTATGAATGGAATCGTTAAAAGGTTGCGCCGAGCCATGGTAGGCTTCTAAACTGGCAGTCGCGACGAGATCTGCCAGGTCCAGGAGATACCGCATCCTCTCCAGCCCGTATATAGCGTGAGATAAAATAAATTGGGTGCCGTTAATTAACGCCACACACTCCTTCGCCTTCAGAACTAATGGTTTTATGTTCCGCTCTTTAAATACTTTTTCAGTGGGAACAATTTTCCCGTCAACGTATAATTCTCCCAACCCTAAAAGGGGTAAGAAAAGATGCGATAGTGGGGCCAAGTCGCCCGACGCGCCCACGGAGCCCTGTTCCGGCACCACCGGAATCAAATCCTCATTAATCAAGAAAATAATTTTATCTATCAACTCCGTAGACACACCCGAGTAGCCTTGAGACAACGCATTGACCTTACATACCAGCATAGTCTTGCAAATATCCTTCGCCACAGGTTTCCCGACCCCCACGCAATGGCTCACGAGAAGATTGTACTGCAATTCTTGTATCTGCTCGTTAGAGATAGTCGTGTGACACAAATTCCCACAACCTGTGTTAATACCGTACACTATTTTTTTGGAACTAATTATATTCAATATTCGGTCGAATGACTTCAAAACTTGTTGTCTGGCTTCATCCGAAATCGCAATTTTAGGACTATTAACAACGTCAATGATTTCGTTAAAACTAAAATGGTCTATTCCTAATTTTTTCATACTTAATTTTGATAAAATACACATTTTAAAGATATTGTAAAAAGCAAGGAGCAATGTTTTATTATTTAATACTGATTCTTTTAGATTTGAAGTCTTTTGAATTAAGAAATAAAAATATTTAATAGCGCCGCCCCATTGTTTCAAAGTTATTACAAATAAAAAATATATCTGATACTACAGCCGCGATCAAGGATTAAAAAAATAAATTTTACCTTACTTGGTATAGAAATTATCTTTCTGTTAAATAAAATTTTGCAAAAGTAGCCGGAGGTTAAAATCACTATCGAGCGTCTGGTATGTACTGTGCGAACGTTCAAATAAATCAAATATTATACGTGAACACTTCTTCAGTCGCGATTAATATTGTAACTGTCAACAGGCCGCAGTTCCACGCGCAGTGTTTAGGCAAAGGATCGCGACGCCAATATATAAACCGGCTCGCGGCGATCACTGCGCGATGCAAATTGTGTCAGCAATCATACAGGCTGTTAAAAATACGATGACATTAATCCAGCTGGCCAATTTGCAAAACATTCGAGGAAGCCTGTGTTCACTGTGGACGGCCTGTTACTGAAATGATGATGATTATGTACTAAAGAATCCATTTGCATATGTACAACTTGTAGTTTAAAAGAAACGAATGGTAATACATTTTATCCTGTAGGTAGGCCCCATTTTATCGATTTTACGTAATAAGCCCATACGTTAGTCGTCTAAATCATCGATAAGATTTTATCACGGTACACATCATACCCCGTCAGGATTCTTTTTTAAACCACCTAAAATTTTGCTCTTTTGAACATCCTGTACTGTATAATATTTGGAATTGAGATAGGGTAATAAAGGTCAAAAAAGAAATTTATTAATAATTTATTTTTAAAATTTAATGTTTGCTTAAAAAGCTCCACATAAAATACACATAAAACATGTAGGACACTGCGCGGCACCGTAACTCGTATTATGTGTGTCGAGAATAGTCGACATTTCTTTGGGTTTGATGCAGTGTGCAGTCCGCAAAATGCATACTTTTCTATATTATTATAATATAAAGTCTGATTTTTATAGTGCGCATTTTGCGAAGTGCACACTCTGCATCCGACCCGTTTGCTTAAGAGCCATTTTACATTTTCGTGCGAGGCGCACACCGTTGATTTTTAGTTGGCCGATATTTGTGCCCTATTTTAATTTGTATGAAGAATCGGCCAAATCGAATCGGCGTAGTGTGCGCACTCCCATACCATACTGATCAACTGCCCGACTAAACTATCGGCCGACGAAAAATCAACGGTGTGCGCCTACTCTAAAACCAGCCAAAGACCTATGTTATGATGCTACTTTTTAGCTCAATAGATATTCTATTTATTGAATGTAAAGCATTTTACTTATTGAAAACTAATTTGATAAAATGTTTTATTGATGTTTTGCTTTAGCATTATTGAATAACAGTTTTATAAACAAGGCTAAGTATTAAGTCTCTCGTTCCCATCGCTGCCACTCCTGTGTAGCCAGGATCTAGCTTAACAGTGTTGTGTGTTTGAATAAAAACTACATATTATGATTTATTTTTATATTAGGAGAATGTTCGCGTGGGCGTGGGCGCAGCGGTGCGTGCTTTACAAAAGCGCGGCTGCGGCGAAGTGCACGTGGACGCGGCCGGCGCGCCCGACGCCGCCGCCGAGGCCGCTGAACTCGCCGCCTGGAGGTGAGGACTGACACTAATCCCTACTAAAGTCCGGTCGCCGAGCACGTAGAATTTCGTCCAATGACCCATCCTTATCGCTCGCAAACTCACTGCGGCCGCCCGTCGTACAATTGCGACAGCAATATAATTACTTGCGAACGATAAGGATGGGTAAGCTTGGGGTCTTTGGACGACTTACTTACATATTATAAATACGAAAGTAACTCCTGTCTATCTGTTACACTTTACGCCTAAACTGATTATTTATTTATTTATTTATTTATTTATTTATTTATTTGGTTCACCAATACATTGTTACACTAATACATTTTAGTTTATCAAATACAATTATTAGGACTAAGTGTACAACTATTAAATCTCTTATTTATGACGATATAAATAAGAGATTTAATAGTTTGAGTCCCAGGAAAAGTCATGGGAAAGTTTTTATCCCAGTTTTTTAAACAGAGACGCGTGCGATAAAGTTTTTCTATGACAGAAAAAAATTCTCGCAAAAGTATGTAATAGTGGACACTAAGTAAGTTACTTATAATAAGCCGTCTGACATATTCGTATTTAGTATTCTTGCAAATGAGGTCATTATACCCTAGTTACTCCCAGCTGCCCCTGTCGGTGGTTCTCCCACTGCAACTGGGGGCAAATGGGAATTAATTTACTTAAAGACATTTTTTAATTCCCAACTGCCCCCCGTCGGGCGGCTACAGCAGGGGCAACTGGAAATGATTAAATGCACGAGAAGTATTCCACCGCTTGACCAGAACACTCATTTAAATGAGTTTTATTTAAATTATATTATTTACTTACACTTGAAATTCTATTTTAAAATAATGTTACTTTTCCTAAATAAATCTCACTGGCAAATATTTAAATAGGTTTATAGTTTAAGTACATTGTTATTTAGTCAAGAATATGTATTATCTTTTTGGAAATAAAATATTTATTATTATTCCTTTATTTATATTATTGTCTTAATTTTAAATATATTTTTTACAATGTAAATTACAAAAGAAAAAGTTATAAAAATACATTATAAAAAAAACACTAAAAACTAGTTTATCCGCCGGCAGCGGAGCAGGGCCCAAGCTACCGGTGGTCAGGGTCACAGGCTGAGGAACCTCCGGACAATGCGTGCCGTGCTGAGGATCACCGCCTTTTGCATCTGACCCAGTCCAGCGAGAGCTTCTTTAGATGTTGGTCGAAGCTCTTCGCTATTAGCCCGTTTGCCGAGACAACTATCGGGACAATGATGATGATTATTATTATTATTAAATAAAACGTCTGCTGCAGGTTCCAAGAGTTCAAGTCGTGCGGCGACCGCGCGCCCGAGTGCAAGGTGTCGTTATACGGTAGCGAGGGCGCGGGTCTCTGGCGCGAGGGCTCCATTCGAGCGCGCGCGCAAAACTGGGCGCGCTACCTCGCAGACATGCCCGCCAACAACATGACGCCCGTCGACATCGCGCAGGTAATAATAAATAATAAATAAAATGTTTATTGCCAATAAATCTTAATACAAAATATTCTTATAACTAAAGCCTGGTCCGTGAGCACGTAGAATCCCGTCCAATGACCCCAAGCTACCCATCCCTCTCGCTCGCGCGTAATTATGTTGCTGTCGCGCTCGCACACTCACTGCGGGCGCCCGTCGCACAGTCGCGACAGCAATATAATTACGCGCGAGCGATAAGGATGGGTGATGATTTACCAGGTCTAAATCGACATTAAGTATTTTAATCCACCTTAAAAAATAAATATTTCATTTTTTCTTTTAGATAAAAACTACACTTATTTGAACGCTGTCAAAATAGCCAATAATAAATGTTATTTTATTAAAAAAATACAATAAATAGTTAATAGATAAAAAAAGGTCATGAAAAGATGAATAAACTTACGAGACTAGACTTTATTCTAAGTAGCGGTCGTGCTTGATCACTTTTTTCTTTTTTTTTAATAAATAAGCAATAATCTAGAAATTGCTATAAAGCATGATTGCTCTACCTTCCCAAGATCGTTTTTCATCATGTACTTACTTAATTGATCAATTAACTGTTACAATTAAGGGTTACATTTATTTCACCTTTTATCGATTCTTCGAAACAAACTAGAATGACCCAGCCAACCACCTTATCGTGCTGTGTTTTGGTCTATGTCCATTACTTTCGTCAATTTAGTCAAAGACCCTAACACTTGCTCACAGGCCGCCCTAGACGTGCTATGCCCGCTCGGCGTGCAAGTCCAAGCTCACGACAAGGACTGGATCACGGCACAGAACATGCAAGCCTTCATGGCCGTCGCGCGAGGCTCCTGCGAGCCGCCCATGTTCCTCGAGTGTATCTACAAGGGCGCCAAGGATAATCAGCCGCCCGTGCTTATTGTTGCCAAGGGAGTCACATTTGACAGGTGAGATGTGACACTAAATATGCAGTGGTCTGTAGCAGTGCAGACCAGATCGCGCGTAGAACATTCCTTCAGCAGACCTTCATGGCCGTCGCACGAGGCTCCTGCGAGCCGCCCATGTTCCTGGAATGTATCTACAAGGGCGCCAAGGACAGCCAGCCGCCGGTATTGATTGTTGCCAAGGGAGTCACATTTGACAGGTGACATGTGGTCTGTAGCAGTTCAGACCAGATCGTGCGTAGAATATGCAGGACTTCTTCGCGCGAGGATCCTGCGAGCCGCCCATGTTCCTCGAGTGTGTCTACAAGGGCGCAAAGGACAGCCAGCCGCCGGTATTGATAGTCGCCAAGGGAGTCACATTTGTCAGGTGAGATGTGGTCTGTAGCAGTTCAGACCAGATCGCGCGTAGAATATGCAGGACTTCATGACATTCGCGCGAGGCTCCTGCGAGCCGCCCATGTTCCTCGAGTGTGCCACCTCCGTAACAAAACAATAGAACCCTATGGAGTTAAGGCTTGTGTGATTCGCCTTGACGAATATTTCGTATCCAGGGTCCGATGATGGAGCTGTAAGGGGGCAGATTTATTTTTCACTATGTGACTGTCTTTATTTTGTACTTAATATATATTTTACATATTATACCTATTCGTGTTTCATTATGAATCGAAATATAAAAGACTTAATAAACTCTATTAAAAATTTAAATTAATTAATCAAGTTTGAATACCTCATTCTACCTTAAAATTAATAACTTAAATCAAGTCTTAATACGGTCACGGCTCAAGATTTTTTTGTCCATTTCAGCGTTCTTTTTACTCTTTTGACGTTGCGTTGACAGCTTTTACCTAAATTCGCGCGGAATATTTTTGTGAAATGGCTCTTAAAGCACTACTCTACAACGCAACAGCATCTGAACCAATAGTGGTGTGCATGAATCTTAGCGCTTATACTAAACTCGCGCGGGCGCGGTATGAGCAGTGTGGCGCGAATGCGTTCGACGGGCTTTCACACGCGCGGCAAGAGGCGGGCACACGCAGCGGTCGCCCGCCACTAAATTTAAGGTACTACGCAAGTTTTAGCGTAGGACCTTATGTGCAAGTTTTATTTACTAATGGTCACCATCAGGTCACCCACAAACAAGTTTGCGCTGACGATCTAAATCGTCATCGCAAACGTTTTATTTGCGCCATCCAGTCATTATTGCAATACCAGTTCTGGGGCTCTTGTTCGAATAAAAACACGTCACAAATCGTACTCTTATTTTTTTTTCAACTAGCTTTGTTCGCTGCTCTAAATTGCCACTGTGATTTGATCTCACAGAAATATGTTATCAGTGGTTTAACCACGAAACGTTACACATTTACCTTCTCATTTATAATATGAGTATTGATTAATATTATTTTGTTTATGACTTCATTTTTATGTTAACCTGTAGATGTCTGTAAGGCCACGTAGTCAATGATAAATCAATCACAAGTACATAACGACATTTCTTGTAGTACCTACTCTATAAATAGTTTCAAGTATAACATAATTGGTTTAGTTTCTTAATTTTCCTTAAGTTATTATTCAGAGATATCCAGTATATTTCCATTTGTGTGCAACAAAGCCAAAGTTAGACCACTATTAGGGTGAGGCCCCAATAGCCCGTTGCGCTGCGTCGCGTCATAAAAAATATATAAAAAAGGGACATTAACCAGCGCAACCAGTTTAACCACCAGCACTAGTAAAATACAGATCACTTCAGCATTAGTACTGCGTCGACATTGCTAAGTTTGCAAAGCGGGCGGTATTATCTCTAATGACGGATTTACACTGCGCGGAAATTAGCCGAGTCAAGTCAAAAAAACAGTGGAGTGGGGATGAAATTCATTCATTTTTCATCCCCACCCCACTGTTTTTTTGACTGTGTAAAATGTGCCTTAATTTTATTATTTTAATAAAAATAACTAAAAATATATACCTGATTACACATTTCTACTGGCTGTGCAGCAACATTTGAGGTAGGTAGGTAATTTTTAATACAAATTGAAATTACTTGCAAACATTATGTTTACATAATGATATGTTCATTTGTATACACAGTCTGTAGTCTGTACACACTTGTAATTTATTTCTTTACTAGCTTTCCGCCCGCGGCTTCGCCCGCGTGGAATTTTGTCTGTCACAGAAAAACTTTATCGCGCGCGTCCCTGTTTCAAAAACCGGGATAAAAACTGAGGAGTGTCTATTCAAAAGGGGATATTTACATTTTTATTATTTATTAAACTGAGTATGCAGTCTTGTTCTTAGTGCTGAATACTCACTTTCGTCACTTGAATCTTAATCAAAACGGGNCCTGTTCATCTCCGCGAGTTTACATCGAAAACAAAACACACACGATGGCCCACCTACAGGATACTATTCGACAAGGCCTCACATACGAGCGAACTTTGACTTACGCACGCGTATTCTTGTGTATGACGGAAGAAAATAAAGAAAATGGTACTAAATACTGTGCAGTATTTATCTGCCTAAATAATAATAAAAACACAGAATGTACATTTTTAAGTTGCCTCAAGACACTGAGAGGTAAATAAGTAGTTAATATTATTCATGATAATTCATGCTAAATCATGTATTTCCTCCGCCATTTTCCACAGTTTGGCACCTCACGTCACATCCATCATTTTACCGAAGTCAGCCCTATAGCTTCGGCGCAGTGCCGATCACTGACTTTTGTCAACAAAATGGTGCTTGACTCTTGAGACCAGCTAAATTACACCATATTGTTAATGACATTGAGCATATTTTTTTTTAAATACCTTCGCGAAGTAAAACTTCTGTACGTAGTACTTATTATTATTCTGTGGTTTTATTATCATTTAAAATCTTGAGATGTACAATACAAAAGAGGATATTTACAAAATAGTAGGCTCAACTAAAGGGGATATTTACAGTAAGTACAGAACAAAGGGGGATATTATAAAAGATCCGTGTCAAAAGAGGATATTATGATTTTTCTGAACTCTGTAACTTTAAATTAACAAGTCATATTTTTTGGCAAAAAGTGTAGTTAGAACACTGTAATGAAATAGTTTCATAACAGAAACAATGCTTTTCGGTAGGTCTGTAAATATTTCCCATATAAGTTTTTCCCATTTTGTGAAAAATAAGATAGAATGTAGGTATCCCCTTTTGAAAAGACACTCCTCAACTATCCTATGTTCTTTCCCGGGACTCAAACTATCTCTATGCCAAATTTCATCAAAATCGGTTGCGAGGTTTAAGCGGGAAAGCGTAACAGACAGACAGACAGAGTTACTTTCGCATTTATAATATTAGTTGGGATTATTTATTTTAGATGCATGAATAATAATGACTCTTAGAAACTCTGCCTACCCATTTTTATTGAAGAAATTTTAACTGATATTAAAAATTATCTCACTGACATCTGGGTAAAATCATTCAAAATAGTATTATACTATTATCCTACACATACTATTATCCTAGACCATTGGTTCCCAAACTTATTTGAGATACGCCCCCTTTCGACCATACAAAAAATTCCGTGCCCCCCTCCAGTTAACATTATTAATTATTGGTCGTATCAAGCAGTCTGGGATGCATTCTCTCAGCGGTCGCAGGTTTTTATACTTAAGTACACAGATGGCCCGCGCCCCCCTTTAAAGATCTTTGCGGCTCCGCTGGGGCGCGCGCCCCCCACTGTGTGAACCAATGTCCTAGCTAGACAATATTTGAAACATTTTATACGGAATGATGTTTTTGTATCATAAACTATTAGGTCATCAATAAACTCGAAGAAAGCGTTACCTACTATTTATTTTATGAAATGAACGCTTACATACGAAAGTGTTTTGACAGGTAGCTTGGACACTTGTCCCATTAAATTGGATCCATCGTTTGTCAGCTTGTATTGAGGAGCGCTGCACGAGACTCCGTCAATGCTACATGTGTGTACGTCGTCTTCGAACTTAGAAAACGTGAGATCGTGTCCACACGTTTCCGAAATCTGACCATCATCACCTCAAAACTGTACCGTGGCTGCACCTATGTATACAAACTACAATAACAGTATATAAAACAGCTGCAAAACGTATACTGTACTTCGGCAATTTGCGTCAATCGAAATTGTGTACACAAATTCAAAACAAGATTGTATGATTCTATGCTTTATTTTTTATGTTTAGGTATTAAAACTTGTGTAGCCTGTTTTTGAAAAATACCCATCCACCATCAACCTTCAGTATGGAGGTCTCAAATGACGTCAGCTCAAGCACATATCAGGTCAATGACAAGAAAATAAAGACCGCACGCTTTTAAACAATATTTTATTAAATTACCCAATTAAAATTATTTCATTTATTTGATCACACCAACCAACAAGATTACATTGTAGCATTCACAAGAAATATCTTATATGTATAAATCATTACGCAAGTTTGGTGAAACAAAGGCACAACTGCACAAATATTGGTTTCTTTTGCTACTTTTACAATGATTACTCGTTAAAGCTGTATTAATTGGTCTTTCTGTGAAAAATTCAACACTGGTGAAGCGGGCAACAGCTACTTTATAAGATAGTTTATACTGTTTTTTTTTTTTTAAGATTATTAGTAAATTGTTATTGCACAATTACTAATAGTCCCGTTAGCCCCTCGTACTAAGCTAAAAATATGCTTGTATTACGAGTGACAATAGTCAAGCGGTGCGCCGCAGCGGCGGGGACCATTCCGCGGATCACGAGTCGATCAGTCCGACCCCTTAACCGTTCGGCTATCAAATCTAATCTATCGGTTTATACTGTTGTGTAGTTAGTTGTGAAGTTAGTTACTTATTAGCTTATCTCATGTTGCAATACCCTAGCAGGGTCCATGTTATGGGTCTATGTAAATGTGTAAGAACCTTTATATACCAACATTGGAGCAATAAAGAATTTGATTTTTTAACACCACTAAATTCTTATCACCGAAAAAAAATTCTGTGTAATGAGTTATTGATACTGATCCCATTTGTGCAAAAGAAGAAGTTAAATAAAGTGACTCAAAATTTCCTCCTAAAATTGGTAATTTATGGACACACGCGTCGCTAGCACTATTTACGTACGATAATGTAACACTTATTAGAATTCAAAATGGTCTAAATAAATAATCTTATTTATTATTATTTATTTATTTATTTATTTATTATTCATTATTGAGCAATTACATATTTGATCCAAATAGCGTCCTAAATCCTTAAATATCTTTGGACAATCTCACACAGCGCCATCTAGCCCCAAAGTAAGCAATTAATATGCTTGTGTTATGGGTGCTAGCTTAACGGATATACTACTTATATACTTTTTTTTTAAATACATACATATTATACATAGTAACATCCAGACCCGTCACAGAAATTAAAATTCATCATTTCAATTTCTGCCCGGCCGGGAATCGAACCCGGGACCTCTCGGCATAGTAGTCCGTTCTGAACCACTACACCAAACGGCCGACAACGGGCTAAGTTAGATAATTATGTAATAATAACACTGGAAGCGTGGTCGAGGCGTGAGCGAGACAGACAGATCGATGCAACGTGCGAGCGCGTACGACTACTCTAGCGAGCAGCGGAGTGACAAAGCTGTGACGCGTAAAATACGGACTAAAGAAAATTTAATAAAAACATTAACTTTATGAAAAACATTTATTTTTCTTTTGCTTTGAATATTTCACACGTTTCTACATAACCTGTTAAAATTTTTTCGGTGTATACCCGCAAGCTCAGCAGCTAACCCGTGTGTTTTGTCTTGCAGATGGGAGCCGTGGCGGCCGACCCCTGGGCGCCGGTGCCGGCTCCGCGCAGCCAGAGCCCGTGGTCGCCGCCGCAGACGCGGCACACGCCCAACCCGTTTCTGTCCTAGCCGCCGCCACTCTGGGTGAGTGTCCTCGCTTATAAAGTCCGGTCGCCGAGCACGTAAAATTTCGTCCAATGACCCCAAGCTACCCATCCTTATCATCATCATCATCGTCATCATGTCAGCCATAGGACGTCCACTGCTGAACATAGGCCTCCCCTAATGCTTTCCACGTTGATCGATTGGTAGTGGCCTGCCGACGGATTAGCAAGCTGAAATGGCAATGGGCAGGGCACATAGTGCGCAGAACTGACGGCCGATGGGGCAGCAAGGTTTTGGAATGGAGGCCACGTACCGGAAGGCGCAGCGTGGGACGTCCACCTACAAGGTGGACCGACGACATCGTAAAGGTAGCAGGGAAGCGCTGGATGCAGCCCATCCTTATCGCTCGCGCGTAATTGTATTGCTGTCGCGCTCGCACACTCACTGCGGCTGCCCGTCGCACAGGCTTTAGTCATAAGATGGGTACGTGGTTCGTAGGTTAGCGAACCACGTACACTGTGTTTTTGGTTACAATGCATGCAACGGTTACGGTTACAGCTCGCTAATTAGTACCTGGCATTATGGTGGGTCTATGCTAGACGAGCCGAGCCGAGCTGCTCTATTCGCGGTGTCAGTGTGGACGTGCAACGAGCCTACAACAATCTCTCTCCTTTGCGCGTTGAAAATCCTTCTTGTACCTATTCGTCAAAAAACTGACAATAGCCGGAGCACAGTCGAGCACGAGCCAAATGCTTGAAGCGCGCTCGTTTGAGGCTCGTAAGTTAGTCCATACGAATTTAGGACCGGCTCGTGCTCCGCTCGTGCTCGGATAGACCCACCTTTACAAGCGCTTTTAAAAGCCTTGTATATTGAAATAAGTTACTTTTATGACTCTTTCCTACCAAATACTCTGGGCACTTTTCCAATCGGAGCAGGTGCAAAATCAATCGGATGTTCCAATCTTTCGAAATCAGAATCGAACCTCCGTAACATCTTTATACCGTTCATTAAATATCATGTATCTTACGAACACACGCAAGGCAGTATATGTATGTGTGCGTACCGAACGCTCGCGCGTGTACCAAGATGTTGACCATGCTCTATGGCTCTATGCCGACGCTTGGGTACACGTGACTATTAATAGTAATTGCTTAACGTGTTTGTCAAAGAGAAATAATGCTATTGACATATAATTTTTCATTATTACAAAAAATATTCACAATAACAGCGTTTGCCCAGCTGTAATTTTTTACTTGTGACTCATGTGATCTATGGTGTTATTGATACTAGAATTATATGAAAACTTTCTCTTTCTAATGTATGTGTTGAAACAACTGGAATCACAACTTCAGATTGCGTCTGACGTGACTCCGTCGGAGCGACATGGCTTGAATTCAAATTTGAATTTGAATTAGTAGTTTTTTTTACTGTCCAGTCGAGTCTAATCCAGACTAACCTTAAAAAGGTTGGATGGCAACAATTACATAAGAAGTCATAGTATTTACCTTGATGTACTGGCCACTGTCTGACAGCTGCATTTAAATAGTTAGATATTATGATAATTATAGTCTGCACAATAAAAAAAGAATAGTATAAAATGTTAATTCATTATGAGTCATTTTAAGAGTAGGCGCACACCGTTGATTTTTAGTTGGCCGATAGTTGTGCCCGATTTTAAATTGTATGAAGAATCGGCCAAATCGAATCGGCGTAGTGTGCGCACTCCCATACATGCCCATACTGATCAACTGCCCGAATAAACTATCGGCTGACGAAAAATCAACGGTGTGCGCCTACTCTAACCCGTTCCTGATAATGCCTGAAATATTTATTATACAAGTGGCACTTATGGTCTAAACTGAATAAATATTTTTGATTTTAATTTTGAAAATGTTTCAGATAGTTATCAATTTAATTTTCTTCTTTTATCGTTTAAAATTCACAGATGAGGGTTTCTAAAGCAGATAAATTATTGAGTGTCCATTGCTTCTTCCAGGGTGGGAGTTAGAAGGAGTGCAGCTGAGAGGCTGAGCCTCCGGCGACCTGCAGGAGACCAGGCGCTCCGCTACTGGACACCGTTGACGACCTCGCCCACGGGAGTACGACGCTCGTGTTGGACCAATATTCATGTCTGCTTCTGTCGGTGACTGCAAAACGTTCTGTATCAGAACTGAGTAAAAAGCAAAGCGCAGATAAAATATTGAAATATTAACTTCACATATTATTTAATATTTATGGGACAAACAAGTTTTTTTACAAGTTCAAGGATACGGATATAACAAAACAAAATAAAATACCAGTTATATTTGTTTTTCTTGATACTTGAGTCATTTTAATGCATTGACTTTTTACGCAGTTGTTTTGCAAACGAATGGAATCTTACCATCAGTGACTGGATGTTTGGGCTGTACCTAAATTTGTGAAAGAACAATTGGACAAGCCTTGCGGGAAAAAATGCGTAAAGATAACCTTAGTAATGCGCATTTAGTAAATAACTGTAAAATTACTCATCATGTGTCCAATAGGCTTAAGCGCCCCACATTCGATCACTGGCTATAATCACGTCGTCAACTTATATTTTATTTATTTGATAAATATGTTTTATTTATTATACTATTGTGATTTACCCTTTATATTGTATACAAAGCCTGGTCTCCCGATAAAAAGATAATATCAGTATAAATCCCCTGTAAATCGCACTTCAACTTTTAAATTATTTTGACACTTCTACTATTTTTCTGTTTAGATACAGAAATATTAGTAAAATTTAACATTTTCGATTGACATGTTCCAATGTATCAACTTTTTTATTCCACTAAAAAATAAATTGCGTTCATACTACTAGGTTTAAATTTTGCACTTAAATAGTAAATCTCTTGTCACAACTTTTGTTGAAAAGTCATAAAAATACCTTGATTTAGTTATACTTACCTAAAACTGTTTATGTACTCTTCGTTTATTTTGTAAACCTTTTTGTGTGGTAAGTGGGATATCATGAAAATACAGTTGTAAGAATGTACCGTAACCAGCGCAGGCGGCGCCCGCCGTCTCCGCTGCTAACCGTACCCGGTGGTAGGTTAACAAATTAAAGTAAGACAGTTAGAGGTACAGTATACAAATAATGTATAATGAAGTGTTTTCATAGACTGGAACTCGCTGTGACGATTGTAATAGTTAGCGCTGACTCGGCCGGGTTCACGCGCGGCGCTTAGAACAAATTATGTAAGTAGGGCTCGCGACTCGACGTGTCCGACGCACGGCAAGCTGGGCTGTCTCGCTAGCTGTAATTAGAATATCTTAGCACCTCTACCTTTTCCTAGATTCATCTAATTAAATAAATTTATATGTATATCAAGATAATTAACTCTAATTAATTTTAAATAATTAAGTTAACTCATAACACTGAGTGTTGCGATGGATTTTAAGTCTGATTAATATAAAAAAATGAAATAAACTACAAAAATGTATTATATACGGTTGCGCGCGCCTGAACCTGGCAGCATGTAGCAATAGACAACGTAGAGACCCGCGGCTGATGTTTAGGGCCTCTTCACTGGTGGATGCAGATGTAAATTAACTAATTAATCTAGAAATTAAAGGCTAATCGCTACTATTTTTAAATAACTAAGGTAAATGGGCCCTAAATAGCGAAGGGTATAAAGATTTTGTAAGGTACAACGGAATTCGTAGCGCAGTTGGGAGTTTCTGAACCTATCACAGCTGTCATTTAAAATGCATTTACATTTGTTACATTTTGATATAATTCAGTTTTAATTTTCTTATTATCAAGACAATCTTCAGACCTGATGAAAAGTACGAGCTGAAAGTTGAACCCTTTTATTGTATAGTTTAAGATTGTAAATCAATTTATGCTTGCTAATAATTTTCATCAATAAATATTAAAAGGAATGTGAAACCCTCAACAGCGCTACGAACCCGACTCTAACGTCCATAGTCGGCGACTAAGGAGTAAGGTCTCGAGTTGTAATACGTGCCTTAGATACCAGTTTTGTAAATGATAATGTTTGTCGCCCTCCAGCCCGACGGCTCCTTGATGACGTCATGTCACTTGTGATACCATCCTTCTACTTAATCCTTGATTCACCTCGCAGACAGCACATTCGGTTGCAAATAGTCAAACAGATCAGTATTATTTTGCTTTTGCAGCGTTGATCTTGGAAAATTTCTTTTCCCGCGAGTGATGATAATGATTATTTTTCCTTCCAGTATCACATTTATTTATATCTACTTAACGTTAATGGTAGAATTTATTTCCAAACTGGCAACACTTAACATTGTGACATAACGTCATCAACTGTCGGGATAAATATTTATTGTGATTTATTTTAGCGCAAACACTTGCATCGTATCGATAAATTGTTACAAGTTCCTCCGAGAGTCAATCTGTACAATTTATTAAAGTAATACAAAAGGAATACGAAATAACGAATTTTAGTAGTAATCGAGCTGCAGTGTGTCGATTTTGTTTGAGTGCTTACAGTTAACGCTAGGAGGTTGAACTTGCCTTTACACTGTCAAATGAATTTAAACAAATGTTTGTTAGATAATACACAACAACAGAAGGCAAGTTCAGCTTCATTTGATACTAAAATTAATTTCACCGCGTACTGTCCAAACCCTGCGCTTTACAACGTGTGTGTTTGTTGCGTACAAAATATTCCATTTTTATATATTGTGTTATTGAAATAATTTTACAACCCTCATTATTGACGTAGTATTGATCGAGTTAAGGTAAATTATGTACGTTTAGTCTGCAGCGCAGTGTTGCCAGCGCGGGCTCGACCATGCCCACTTTATGTCACACTCGATATCACAAGCAGCGTCTTTTTTACACTGTTACACGTTTTCTCCTATTAAGAAAAAAATATTCCGCGCTGGCAACACCGTGCTTTGTTTTTTTTTTCGCTTTATTATTAACTAGCAGGTTCAAATGGTTATTGATTTTGTTTATCAGTTATGTAGATAAATTATTTTTTAATATATTAATTTTTGACCAATAATATGCATTGATGCTAATCTGTGTGGGTTATGATCACAATTCTATATAATTTTATTGTGAAGCGTCGAAACGCTGGTGAAATGTAATGGCACTCTGTGACGTATACAAATTATTTTAGCAGGGTTTGAAAGCATTTAGTATGCTCTATTATCAAATCGTCAGACTTTGCATGCCTTTGACGTGGTGCCATTGATTAATTAACTGGTATGTTTGTGACATTATAGTTATTTTGACAATATTAAGATGATAAATTGAATATTTAAATTGACATTAGATAAAATTATAAATATCGGGAAAACGACTATTGTATAAAATCCAATTTTCTCGGTATTCCTTAATTATTATGATAATTTATCAATGGCACCACGGCAAATGTATTTTCTAATGTCCTTAGTTTTAAATGCATTATTATGAAAATTTACATCGCTAGCAAAATTGTTTGATATCTGGGGGCACGGCAGTGCCCCCACCAAGTCGAGCAAAAAAGCGGCACGGCCGTACCATCCTTTTCTCGAAGCAATTCAGGCCATTTTCGACCGCCTGTAACTTCGTTGTGGATAAAACTAGAAGGCTGAATTTTCATTAGCTATGCAGGCATTGTAAAGACACGGTATATTTAAAATTTCATTCAATTTGAACCAGTAGTTTAAGAATTATAACGGGTCAAAGTTACTTAATTTTGTCACTCACTGACTCACTGACTGACTCACTGACTCACTCACTGACTCACCGATCATCAAAACTCTAAGGCACTTCTAGCAGACCTAGAAGCTTCAAATTTGGAATATAAGTAGTGTTTGGTGTATGAATCAAGGAAAAACTAAAATATTTGGGGGCACGGTAGTGCAACCGCCAAGTCGAGTAAAATTTTTCAATTTCGGTCCAGTTTTCTAGATACATAACTGCTGTCTACAAAATACAAAAAGAAATGAGATCCCATCAAAAACAATACTTGTCAAAAAAACCAAGTCTCGCAACTCAGTTGTTCTACGGTAAAAAGTTGTGAGATCCATGTAATACCAAGTCCAGGCCAGGAAATCTTTAACGTTTTACATAAATATATTGACTTGGCCATCGCATGAAAACACGTGTAAATTAAATTATTTAGTGCGATGGCCAAGTCAATAATTTATGTAAAACGTTAAAGATTTCCTGGCCTGGACTTGGTATTACATGGATCTCACAACTTTTTACCGTAGAACAACTGAGTTGCGAGACTTGGTTTTTTTGACAAGTATTGTTTTTGATGGTCTTTATCTTTTTGACGTCTAATAAAATTTGAATTTGTGATCATAATGCATTTGTGTCACTAGCTAGGGAGAACTGTAAAGATTAATGTAACTATTTAATTAAAATATATAAGTTTTTCAATACAACGAAAAGTTTATATGCACTCGTTGAAATGAAACACCACCGTACAATATGATTATAATTTATTCATTAATAGTTTACAAAGACATTATCGTACAAATATTAATTTCCATGATCAGCAATATTGCAGTACAAATACTTATTAAACATTTTTGTTCATTATAGAAAAATTACGAGATACGCTTCCGTACGCCTTGTAAGTACGAAACATCACGATCGAACGCGGAAACATCGCTTATATACAAGATAATACGCACCACTTATAAAAAATCTTTCATCACGTGTAAAATCGTAGAAAATGTGTCAAAAATGTCGTGTGACGGCACGGAGGGGGCGATGGAAGCATCTCGAGCTTACCCTAGCGACTTAATACTAGCCCGCGCTGCCTGCGCCGGTATTGCGACGATCCCTGTTCAACTTAAATTAATTACGGTACACAATTACGGTCATTGATCAGCAGGATGTAGGCTCAGTCTCATGGTGTTGCGGTCACTAACCTACGAATATGTTCGGAATACAAGTACTGAGTTGGTAAAATCATAATTATAAAACCCATCGACTAGACGCTATATCCGATAAATACTCACGAAATTTCCAATAATGTCCCCCGATACTAATATAATTTATATACCGTAAATCTAAAATAAATAATTTCAAGCATTACGAGTGACGGTCACAAATAATAAAAAAATATAATTCGAAACAAGCAATAGTGACGGCAGATCTACCGATATAAGAAAATAATCTATGATTATAATAATATTATAACAGAGAAGCGATATTTTTATATGATCACATTCGCACTACACTCGCGCGCTTACACTTATCGTACTAAATGCAATTCGGGTGACGTCCAGTTGACACCCTTGAGAAGTATTTTTTTTTCTGCTGAAATGTTTGGTGACAATGCTCGAACATTGTCTTACATTCCCGTTTTATGTTTAATTAATTTTAAAATCCATTCGCAGCGGATTCCGGCCAGAATCAGCTGTTTGGGTCGTTCGGACGCCGCCAAAATGGCGGCTGGAATGTGACCGCCATTTTGAGCGGCTGGGCATTTCAAAATGGCGTCAACTGAAAACGCTCCATCACATTTTCAATCGACCTTCAAGTCCCACGCCATCTAGCGGAAACGGATAAGACTACCGGTAGAGCGGAGTATTGGGGAGGAGATTCTGCGGGCCGGCCTCGGGCGCCCGCTCGGGAACCTTCGTCTTTCTAAGGCTCGATTTCCTCCTACGCTGACGTCGGTCGCGGACATCGGTCGAGCGTACGAATAAACACAATGTTCTATGAAGCACCACACTGCAACGCCGTCGTCGGCGGCAGATGATTACATAGAACTGACGTCAGTCACTGATGTCAGCCTAAAAGGAAATCAAGCCTAAAAGTGGGAACTAAAAAATGAGTACGGGAGCCGCGACAGACAGCTCTGTTTTCGACGAGCGACGCGTCAGTGAGGTCCGAGCGGACCGCGGGCCGACGGTGATCAGGCGAGGCGAGGGTTCCCGAGCTGGGCGGCTTAATACTCCCAGTGCGTGGCGGAGCTGAGGTCGGAGGAGGCGAGGCGGAAGTTGCCGTTCTTGGCGGCGGCGAGGTACTCGCGCGAGGCGGCGGCGCGGATGGCGAGGCGCGTGGGCTCGCGCAGCTCCAGGTGGAAGCCCTGCGGCGAGTCCGCGTCGCACGTCACGCTCTCGCTGTCCGCGTGCCAGTATTTGCCGTTTTGTCCTGGAATCGAGTTCAGTTACAACGTGAGTGTAGTTTTTAAAATAAAAGAAGTATCAAAGCACAAACAAAACGTCATTAAAGCGGCTGCTGCACTATTTGCTGTGCTTGTGTCACGGCAGCCTTAAAGGCTGATTTACCTACACGTGATAAGTAGATAAAGCCTGGTCCGTGAGCACGTAGAATCCCGTCCAATGACCCCAAGCTACCCATCCCTATCGCTCGCGCGTAATTATGTTGCTGTCGCGACTGTGCGACGGGCGCCCGCAGTGAGTGTGCGAGCATTGAACGGGAGAGTCATTGGACGGGATTCTACGTGCTCACGGACCAGGTTTTAGTAGGTAACTAAATTTTTATTTGATTTTTCTGCCAAGTTGGTGGAGGGCGGGGCTGGTCACTTGACACGTTTTGACAAGCAGTTTCATAGCAAACAAGAGCTTGACGTTTGGAATTAAGTTAAAATTTAGTTACGATGCAACGTAACTAAATTTTAACTTAATTCCAAATTTGATCACTTAAAATTAAGTTAAAATTTAGTTACCTACTTAACTACTTAAAACGTGTCTCCCCTAGAACAACTAAGTTTTAATAAAACAGCAAATATAGAGGTAAAATGAGTGGTAATGCTGTACCTTTGAAATAAACGGCTCCCTTGGGGCCGCGGATGACCTGGATGGTCTCGTAGTTGGCCTTGTTGCACTCCAGCCGCACGCCCTTGGGGCCCACGAAGCCTTGCTCGCATTTTAGCACCAGAATGGGTCTGGAAAGTAAACATATTCAAGTTCGAAAATAAGTCTGAAAAAATGTTATTTCTTACTGTGCTTTTTTAATACAACCTTTGAAATTAGGGTTGATGGTTGTACCAAAAAACTGCAAGCAAACCGTATTTACGCTTACTAGTTGGTCTCCAGTGGTTCTAACCAGGAGTTGCAGCAAATGCAACGGTCCTCCTATCGTTTTAGCGTAAAGTCACTGTCACTTGCTAGTGGCGAAAAGACATACTCTCTAATCTGTGGCAAAGACAGTGGCGCCAGCTGGTGAGCGCCAACGCATTTGCTCACCAGGATGGCGCCACTGTAGAGTAGAGGGATGTCAATCGCCAGTGGTGCCAACTGTTAAGTATAAAAACGACAGTCCCCATTGCATACTCCAGTTGGCGCCACTGTAGAAAGATGTCAATCGCCAGTGGTACCAACTGTTAAGTATAAAAACGATAGTCCCCATTGCATACACCAGTTGGCGCCACTGTAGAAAGATGTCAATCGCCAGTGGTGCCAACTGTTAAGTATAAAAACAATAGTCCCCATTGCGTACACCAGTTGGCGCCACTGTATAGTAGAGATGGTAGAGGGATGTTAATCGCCAGTGGTGCCAACCGATAAGTATAAAAACGATAGTAATTGCGTACACCAGTGGGTCTAGACAAAGTTCAAATTATAATCGCAAACCAGTCGAAAAGCCCTTTTTGTATGGAGTTTTGACGGATTCGATTTCCGTTCTTGCAACATTTCTCATTGATGCTGCTTCTATTGGTCGTAACAGGATGTTATAAAGCTTATTAAACCCTCAATAAATATTATTAGTATAGATAAAAAATTGAACGCTTCTCACCTATTTATTAAGTAGAAATAGTATTTGCAGTTGTCATCAATAGCGTCCGCGTTGGCGTAGAGGTGTCCGGAGCGCTTGGTCATGAGGTACTTGCCGTTGTTGGCGCGGAACGCCACCGCGCCGTCGCCCTGCCACTCCAGCTCGAATAGAGCGTTGGACGATCTGGAAGGGAACGGGTTTCAAATTCAAACTATTGCTCCATGTTAGTTTAGAACAGTTCTTGAGACAAATCAATTGTAAGGCGTCTCTACGCTAACTCATGTAGCGCCCATGTACTATCATCAACCTAGCGCCCTTTAGTATTACTAGAAGAACCTGAACTTCGAACTCTTCCTATGTTCTTCTGATTAATTTCCAAGGTCCAATGACAGTTTAACTTTCCCCCGGGACAAACTTGACCTTCATTGATTGGGTTTTTAAGGCGGTCAAGCTGTATCCTGGCTATACAGGAGTTGCATCGGTGGGAACGAGATATGGGAATAACGGGACTATTTAGTATTATTAGTATTACTAGAGGGCGCGAGGCTAGTAGCGCACGGCGCACCCTAAGCCTTGTGTCTGTGTCCAACGCACACCATACTCTATAGGTAAAGCCGCCGCTGCGTATCAATGATGATTTAGTTTGTGCAATGTGCAATGTTTTCTCAGTGAGAACTACTCAGTTGGAGTAGTAAATGTAGAGATTGAACCAGAAAACGTAGTGTGAGCAGGTCTCTCACTCGGTGGACCGACGATCTGGCGATAGTCGCGAGAAGCTTCTGGGTGCGCAGGACTGGTCATAGTGGAAATCGGTTGTCCAGCAGTGGAAGGAATTCGGTTGAAACGGAAAAATGATGATAAATATGCCGCTTTCTTAATGTAATTACATTAATTTATGTATTCATGTGTTAAGGTCGTAGTATCTAGGAATTACGGTGATTAAATCAATTTAGGTATGAAAAAATATTTTTGGGGATATCCAGTGATTCGGACAAGGTAAAAAAGATTCTCGAATAAGAGTAAGGAACTTACTTGTTGTCCCCGCTGGCCTGGATGCCGCCGCCCGTCTCGAGCGTCCAGTAGCGGTCCTGCATGGTGCGGATGTACCAGCGGCGCGTGGCCCAGTCGAACTCCAGCTGGAACGTCTCGTGCGAGGAGATCTCGTCTTGGTTGGCGGTCACGTCTACACCTGCAATAGGAAGCGAGAGTTTCAGTTAGTCATCATCATCATCAGGAAGATTGCATGATACGGAGCGTCGACCCCAAATGAAATGGGAAAGAGCCAGGCAAAGATAGAAGAAGATTCGGCTTATTCCACTATTCCCCATTGACAATCCCCGTCAACGGGGTTTATTGAACAAAAAGTTCATTAATCCCCGTTATAATAGGATTTTATTTTGATTTTATAAGTTCCAATTGGCGTTAACGGGGAATAGTGAACAAAAAGTTCACTAATCCCCGTTGACGGGGATCGTTAATGGGGAATAGTGGAATAAGCCGAAGAATCATCATCATCAGGACATTCACAGGTGCAGTACCCTCTCCAAGGGACCAAAGACAATGGCACGACTTTGTCCCACGCTGGCTAGACAGTTTGGGAAGGTTTTAGTTACTCTGTAAGATTATCGAATAATTTATATTGCGTGGACTTGTTACCATATGTTGTGAAATGGTTACCATATGAGTCACCATATCAGACGTGTGGCAACTCAGTCTTAACTAATTAATGTAAGTACGGAAAACTTTCAGAGGCAGTGACCGGGACTAACGGCTTACGTTGCCGCTACACTCTAACAAAGTAAATATAAAAGAGAGAGATTCTGAATGTTATTATTATAAGAAGGTATTATGAAACAACGCAGTCTTTTTATGCAATTTATCTAATTATCTACGTGGATCGTTCGCTCGCCCTCTTAATGTGTTAAAATATTAAAACCTAGCTCTCTTTAAAATATTAATTTTAATCTGAGTCGTTAATCTCATGAAATAAGGAAACGAACTCGCAAAATGTAGGGGAGAGTTCGGTATATTGTACCGCCGGGTAAATTGTACCACCCTCATATTTCGTAAAGTATTTATTGAATGTCTGTAATTGCAACACTCAGCGATACACAACTAAATTCAATTAATATCGGCCATGTGGTTTTTGCCGTGACAACAAACACGTGTGTTTTATTTTGAAAAGTATTTTTTCATTGTTTTCAAGTAACTTTTGACAATGCATGTTTAGTTTGTAATTTTGTTAAATTTAATCACAGGGTGTTTCTAATATATTATTTAGAAGCGTAAATTAGTGTGGATTACAATTTTTTGAAACATTTTTCGGTATATTTATGCTATATTTTTTTACCGATTATTTAAAAGCACTATCACCTAGTCGGCTAAATTGTACCACATCAAGTTGTATGGAACTTTACCAAAGGATTTTGAATTTTTTTTAGTAAATCATATTTTGAAGTTATAATAGCGTAGTTATGTTTGACTAACAATAAATGAAAGCAAAATACTGGCAAAGTAGATAAGGTACAGGTGTGCGTTACGACAATTGGAATTACAAAACTTGTACTCAAAATCGTGATAAACGTGTAAAACAATATCGATTGTCTATGTTATTAACTACTGTTTCTTTTCGTTTCCTTATTTATTAAGAATGTATCGTATAATATTTTGCCATAGTTTTTTTATAGGCTTGAAATTTATTGAAATCCAATTTAGTAACCCAGTGGTACAAATTATCGAACCGGTTGGCTAAATTGGACCGAAGCTCTGAGCTCGTATTTTGTTAATTTGTGCTAAATATACAACAATCATGTTAATTAATAGTTATGAAATAGTAAGTTGAATAATTTATCTTTTATTATATACCATGGACATTAGCAAAAACAAAAGAAAACTATGTGTAAAATGGGATTGAAAAAAACTGGTCCAAATTAGCGGACTCTCCCTTAATATCCAAGAAAAGTTCATTCACTGGTTAAGCTCAGAACACTGTAAATTCAAGCTCAACAAGGCACTTGTCATCTCGATAAACATCTCCAGCCGTCGGCCAACAAAGCGTCGTTCATGTCGGCTGGATGAGTTTCTAAAGACCATTAGCCGTCTTTAGAAGACGCCTCGCTTGTTGACTGACCACTCGACTCGAAGGCATTTTATCTTGACGGTTAAATAATATACTATCACATTCAAAACTGTGGTCATTTAACTCTCCAAATACGGATTTGGACACTACCAATTTTGAGTTCACTATCTTTCCCTTCGACTACTCTAGCATGGATACATTTTAAACTTTACCTAATAGGTACACAAATATAATATGTATTCTGTTATTGTAATGTTATGTCAAAACAAAGCACTGACTGAACTGAAGAACTAATGAATTACAATTCGAGATTGAAAACTTATCCCGCTTAGCGCGATTCTCCTTTACAGTAGTAACATTGCCCTAAGTCAACACAACAAAATGTAATCCGTGACCATCATGATTTTGATTGCTTTAGTACGATCTCAGGCGTTATTATAAATCAAGTCACGATCCATATACTATTTATATTTTACTGAACAAAAGCAACTTAGTTTAATTTAATGTAAAAGATTCACATAACTAGAAAGTTATAAGTTAACTCTACCACAGAATACTTAAATAGACTCTACATCCATTATAATTGCAAATTGGGAATAATTTATCCTAAATTATAATGTTTCTTCCATTTTTAGAATGCGAACTACAAGTAATTACAGTACGTAAGCCTAATTAGAAAAAGACATTCCACGTTTATTATTTCCTTTTATGACATTAACTACGGACGTGTTTTTTACATTATTTTCCTTATTTATGAAATTCCCATGAGTTTAATGTGTAATTATTATAGCTATCTATGGTCCCTCGTTTCCCTCTTGGCCTCCGAGCAGGATCGTCGGGAATACGCAAGCCACCTCGCGCCCAGGGCATTCACCGGCGTGCGCGCAGCTCGCAGCGTTTACCGCTAAGCTTAGCGATTGGAAGCTTTTTGCTTGATAGGTAAATCGGTAAGTTCGCTAGGTAACTGATATTAATGTTATAGGTTACATTTTGTACAACAATCGGCGCTGTTAGAGGAAATTTGGTTTTTGTTTGGCAATAAGCTTTTTAAAAGCTTAAGAAAAATTCACTCGATAATTTTATATTCTCGAAGTCACGTGCAAGAAATAAAATCAATCGAGAATTATTGTATCAGTATTCAATCTCCGTGGTTCTTCATGTTCTCATTAATTAAAACTTTTCCTATAACTTCTCGTGTACAGTTACCTAACTCAAATTAACTCATCAGCCGATTCTATCGCCGTTCCGCGCCAATAGAGTTACGTACAATACAAATTATTGCAACACGATCGCTTTTTGCCCGCGCGCATACAATGCAGCAGGCTGGTCACTTAACTGATTCTTGGGAGTTTTTGTGAAATGTTAAATTACAGGGAACGAAGCATTTCGTGAAGTGCTACGTCCCTGTCACCTGACAGTTTCTTTTTCATGAATCAGATAAAAAATACTGTTTAGATTTACCTTAAGTAGAGCAAAAAAGCGACCTGATAAAAATCCTAGTTCAATAAAGTCATTTATATTGTAGCAAAGACTGAAAAGTAAAAAAGAAAAATTGTGTTTTACGTTGCATAGCGTAAATAATATTAAAAGCTTGCTTAAAACATCCAATAATTTCAATTTTCATCATCGAACAGATTTCAATGGATAGCATGACCATTTCTTAACTGTTTACCGATTGTTTTTTAAATGCAGACTTAGCACGTCTGGTTTGGTTAATGCTTATTCATGCGAGTGTCGCGACATGTGCTATTGTCCGGACTCGTCGTTGACTCAGCTGCATGCTCGATGAAGTACCGATCCAATTGTGCGATTACCATTTATCGACGACCGTGCATTTGAGCTACCAATTAATGCAATGACTCATTCGCACCGGTAGTACCTATTCGATTAGCTTTTGCTGATAATGGTAAACAATTAACACTCAGAAAGAAAGTTAGAGTTACTTATAAAAGTATATTTTTTGCAATCAAGCTTTTACAATTTTCATCAGGACGTAACGTGGCTTTTGCTCATTTACGAGTAGTTATCTGAAATTCAGTCGTAACAATAAAATAGCACCAAAATCACTTCGCGATAGAAATGATTGTGAAAGCTTTTACAAAAATTTAAGCCTACTCTACATTTGCGCCGCGCAGTACATACTTATAGCGTACACCATTTTGTAGGGAACGCAAATAGAGCCGCGATTCTGCGAGCCAGATTCCAGCCATTTGTCCGACTTAATTCTCAATTTAATTACAACAACCGACAGACGCATCCATCTTCGTAAGATCGCCAAACATGTGGAAATCACTTGTCAGGTAGGTAATTGTCTAATAAAATTTTACTAGGTTGCCGGCACGATATGCGCGCTCAAGCATCCGTGGCATAGAAAACGTTAGAAATCGTCTCAGCACAATGGCGCGTTTTTTGCGCGGCATAGCTGAGCGCAGGCGCAGACAACATTGTGCGCGCTGAGAGCAAAAGTCGATGGAATTACTCCCAAAATAAGTTTACTATTTTGCATTATCATTAAGTAACTAGTTAAAAGTTAACATTGGATTCGATTATTCTGGTTTGCAGTATAAAATATATTATCTTGATTGGGAAAAACAATGATGTAGAGCAGTTCTTTTTCAGAAAACATTGCAGATAATTTCACTGAAACTAAAGTACCTACTCAATATATTCAACTTCAGTATTTTATCTGAGTTCGTTATAACTAATAGGTTACATTTTAAATGCTACAGCAACAACGTGCATAGTTAAAATTAAATAAATGCAATTAGGTACCTACTAGTTATGTTGGAAATAAATGAGCTCAACTTAAAAGATGGTCACGCAATTTTGCTTTTGCATTATTTATATAGCTGTTAAAATGTTTCAAATCTATGCATTTCGGCAACAGTTGAGGCTGCCACGGCAAATTTAACAGGGCACCGTTATGTGATGTGGTTTTATTTTAAGGCTAGATTATAATTGCAGATGTGGTCTAAACGAGCAATTAATAGAAGGTTTTTATCTTAGTTGCGATGTGAAGCCAGCGGAAACGTTAAATTGAGGCGATTGCGCACGTTGCGGCTGATGTCTGAACTTGCAGCTTCTTGAAATTTGAGTTATACGACTAATAT